ACTGCTGCCGGCCCTTCCCCACTGCAGCATGCCCTTGCTGAGGGATTGGCCGCCGATCATCATTGCTGTCTGAGTCCCCCACCCCAGAATGTGAAGGGCGCCCAGCGAGTGACCAGGGGTGGCACACTAGCAAAGGGGTCTGGATCTGAAAAACCAAACTTTGGACTGCAAACCCAAAGGGACAGTCACAGGCTGGGACACAGGCGAACCAGCCACCGGCACTGCCATGGCTGGAGACAGGGCAGTGTGCAGTGCAGTCGCAGCTGACAGCCCCACCGCCACCGCAGGCTGCCCCAGCAAAGGTGTAAAAGACATTAAGTCACCTGAAGCGGCCGCCGTGCCGGAAGAAGAAAGAGGCACTGCCGCCTCCGGATGACTTACTGTTCAGAGGGACAGTGCCGAAGCCGCAGTCACAGCCGCCGCCATCTGCACAGGTGCCATGGGGAAGGAGGGGAAAACCGGCCGGGAACACGACACTGGCTGGGGCGGGCCGCTGCCCACCAGCATCGATGATGGGCCGGGCCAGTACAACTGCGCAGGCTCCATGGCTGATGATGAGGAAGCCAGCGGAGTGATCCGTGACCTCTTGGCAACTGCCGAAGCGGGAGCAGACCCTGCTCCCTCTGGCCATTCGGGGGGGTGCTGCTGGGCAGGAAACTGTGGCTCCCGTGGTTCGGGAGAGCGCTGACCCCCAAAAGACGGGGGGGGGGGAAAGGCGGGGCTGCCGTCGGCCCAGTGAATCCCACGACTTTGGCAGCAGGGGCAGAGAAAGGCGGGACATCAGTCGGGTGGGAGAATCCTGGTTCTTTGGCAGCAGGGGTGGGGAAAGGTGTATCTTCTGTTGCAGCCAGCCCCCAGCCCCACCCTCCTAAGAGGGAAGGGCCTGTCCTGCCGGGGACAAGGAGGCCAAACCACGCACAGATGGCGAGCTGTGACTGGACGATCGCGTGTCTGAAGCGCTGGCACCACCCGCGCCCCTCAAGCTGTCTGTCTCCTCACCTCGGGCCCGGTCCTGGAGGGCCATGCACAGGAAGTCGCACACAGCAGGAGCGGGGGTATTGCATCATCCCTGCCATAAAACTCTTCGCAAGTCGACCACACAGTTCCTGACACCAGCCCAGGTCAAAAGCATCGGCCATGCCCATCGGGATCTCATGAACCCTGGCCCACATAAGCAGGCCAATCAGTGAGGTATCAGGCACTGATAACCCCCCACAGAAAAGGAGGTGCCTCCACACGGAGAAAACCCAGTTCTCCTCTTCTCAGTCCCCCATCTCGGAAACACTGGCACCCAGCCCCAGCAATCCACAAACTGTGCAAGTCCTGGGGAGTCCGTCCCTACCCGCAAGTCCCAGCTGTCAGGGCAGCCCCATGGACCAAGCCCAACGAGAAGGGCGCGGGGGAAAGGCAGTTACCTCTCCAGGGAAACAAAGGGTGTCTGAACGCGGCCAAGCTGCGTGGGCGCCATGCGCCCCCGAGGGGTCCGGCGGGGGTCCCGGGCGTCCGCCATGCTCTGCGAAGGCCGACGGGTGCAGCACTCATGTCGGGGTCACCAGATGTTGCTCTTGCGCTGAGAATTACACAGGAGCAGGCGAGAGGCAGGATTGTAGAAAAGGCAAAGAAGGCTTTATTCAAGAGAACCGCACAGTTTTTATAGAGTGATATGATAGGTTCTGTTTGATTGGCTAACTAACAAAAACATCTTCCTTGCACGCTGTCCTTGAAAAGAACAGGAAAACAAAGTAGAAAAACACTACCTGCAAATTGTTTATACTTAACAAGCTATCACATCTTTCCAAATCCCTAAAATTTCTCACAAGCCACTCTGAGAAGCACTTGCCGTTTCTCTCTGTCCCATGGCATACACACTGCACAGCCAGGAGCTGGGTCAAGCTCTTGGGCCCCTGCACACAAATGCCATCATTTGATCTCCTCAGTAACAGGATGGGCCATCCTGCAGTGCTTTTATCCAAAATGCTGTTCTGCCCTACAAAAACTTAGGGCAATGTTAATTTAGGGCAATATTAATTTTTAATATCGTTGTCTCCATGTTTCTTTTCCAGGTGCTTAATCGATTTCTAGTTTTATGTTTCTTTGATTACTTTTGGGTTGCAAAGTAGACAGGTATGAGGAAAAAGACTGAGCCGTATTTGTAGAAGAGTTAAAGTTAAGAGTGGGGAGGGGAGGGTGTTGCATGTTCCTGGGTGGAGAAATGGGAGCAGGAAAGTCATGAAAGCTGAGCCATTTCTTTGATGGGGATTTAGCCCTTGGGTGTAATTAAAAGGGTTCATCAATAAAGCTCTAGCACAGAGTGCTTCCAGCAAAATCCTATGAGACAGAGATTATACCAGGAGAACACTCTCTTGGAATAATTTCCATCAGCCTCTAGATGGAGTAAGTGGAACTGCTGCTTCTCAGCTCTGTTGCTCATTGTCAGTGTCTGTTAGGACTTCTTTTCTGTTTTTAATCATTCTGAAATTATATTGTTCTGAAAAAGCATTCAAAAATAAGTGCACAAATTTACAAAGCAGGTTGTTTTGTAAAGTTCTCAGAATCTATAAAACAGGTTGCTGGGTGAGTGACTAAGGGATTTCAGTGTTTAATTGACATCTCAGGAAGAATCACACTTAAAAATCTAAACTCTTGAACAATCTTAAAATATAATTAATAAGTAAATGTTTAGCCTCTGAGATGACTTCTTTATAATGGAAGAAAGGTGTTGGCATTGCTGCTGTTTCTAGAAAATTCTCTGTAAAACAGCCATAAGTGGGGAAAAAACCCTAAGCCCTTATTCAGTAAATTTGGACAAGAAGAGGAATAAAGTTAAAAGCTCAGTTAGAGGTTAAAGGCACTGCAGAACACTGAGTGTAGGGAAGCAAGAAACGGCTAATGTGTGTTTAATTGTTATAAATGCAGATATGTAGGAATGCAAACTTGAGTCACTGCTCCCAAGAATTAGCTGAGGAGTTTTAAAAGTTTGCAAGAATCATAAATACCCTGACTTTCAGTCATCTGCAGAGAGGATCCAATTTATAATGATGGTTCCAGTGTCCCTGCTAATAATTCCAGTAAAAGCAGTAGGGAATGGGCAGAGGGTTTGCCCTGGGAGTGCAGCAGTGCAGATTGGTTCATGTGCAGAATTTAACAAAATAATCTTACTGAGCATTTAAATGTATTAGTTTCCCTGACTGTCTTTGCCCAAAAAAGATTCTTACCAGTATCTGTCTTTTTTGAAGTTAAAACAAAGCTTTACTTTGTTAAATTGAAACTCTCATTCCCCTGAGCAGTGACGTTGTGGAGAGAGCACTTCCCCCATGCAGAGGACAGAAGGAGAGGGGATTTTCTTCCCCATTATCCATGCTTTTAGACAGAGGAGGTTTCTCCAGCCAGCATGCATGTCCTGGTGAATCTAATGGGCCTGGACCTAAGGAGAATTTGGCAAACAGATGGAGAGAGAGAGAGAGGCAGGGTCAGGAGCAGAGTCTAGTGAGCTCTTCACAGACTCCTCTTACTTCCTTTGGGCTCCTCTTGGCCCATAAACGTTTCTAAGGGTGGATTAAAGCCTGCTTATCTTAATTTCCTTCTCACTGTCATCCTCAGCAGCTCCAGATCCAGGGCTGCTCCCAAACCTACCTGTGCTCATGCAGCTCAGCTAGGTGTTCTAGTTACTGGACTGGTTGGTGCAAATAATGCTGTACTTTTGGCTTTGTTGGGTGGAACTATTCAGGAGCAGTGTAACGAGACTTGAAATTTTGGGTTTATAAGGCAGGCCGGGATATGTACTGCAGCTGGTGGGATAGCTTTGCAGTACTGTGGCCTTGTGAGCCTGGTGGTAACATTCAGATTTGCTTTGCTGGAGAGAGGCGCGTATTCTCTGAGCCTTAGAGACTTTCCCACCAATTTGTGTCTGGGATGGTACTAGAAGCAGCTGTTTCTAAATCTAGATGTGTGGGCTATGGGTCATTATTGCATTGGTGTATTCTGCAGAAAACCTCTGATAACCATGTATTACACAAGAATCAGGCTGGTCCTGCAGAGATGTGGAGTTGCATTCACTTCCCAGGGATCCCGCTTAGTTTAAATATTTAATGATACTTTATTATATGATATGATATATTATACTTTATTATATGATATGATGGTTTATTATATGATTTAATGATATTTCATTATATGGAGCCCCTGTGGCTCCAGTTTCTACCATGAGTTGTGTAATATCCCACAATGGATTGAACAGAATGTTCCACATGTTTTACTCTGCTCGTGTACTGGTGTCCACAGCAGGCAGTGACTAAAGCTCGCAAGCGAGAAGTGACAGTTTACAGAAAGAACACTCTGAAATCAGGTATTTTCCTGTTGTGTTTTCATCGTGAAATGAGCGTATCTCTAAAACCTTTCTTTTGGGCCAGTGTCCAATGCAGGAGTCACCCTGCTGCATGCAGCTGTCTCTGTATGGTCGATAAAAGGGGTGAGCAGCACCAGAGTTGGAGCTTAGTTTTCCAAAAGACTTGCACATTTCTGCAAGACTTGTCCCCCCACTGGAATTTTGGGTGGAGCTCTCTACATTTGCATCATTAGAAGAGTTCGTCTGAAGATTTTTGACATAGGTATTTTTAAATACGCGATTGTAAATAAAACTTTTCTTCTGTGACATCAAATTAACAGAAATCAAAATTCAGCCTGGCACAAAGAAGAAGCCTGGCACATTGCTGAAGATGATAAAGTTGTGCTGGTTTACAGAACTCATGTTGGACCATAGTTTATTATGCATTAAAGATAACAATAAGTTTCTAATATAAAAGATTCTTCACGTTGATAAAGTGCTGTTATGCTACCTACAGTACTTAAAAATTCTTATTTCTTATTTTGTAATTTATATTCCCTCACTTTATATTCCCTCAAATTTCTATTTTTGTGAGGAGAGGAAGGGTCATGGTAGGGCAAACCCATTTGCATGTAATCCTCATCTGTGCCTCCTTCTCCACTTGTTCCCTATGCAGAAGTTCATAGAGTTTGAAGATGCACTGGAACAGGAGAAGAAAGAACTACAAATCCAAGTGGAACACCTTGAATTTCAGACTCGACAGCTGGAGCTGAAGACCAAAAACTATGCAGACCAGAGTAAGTAAAGCTGTGCACCAGACACATTTTTGGTTTAATGTAATTTGTGAAAAGCCCAAAATATCTGGTTGTCACTTACTTTGACGTAAAGTTCAGAGCTTTCCCAAGGGTGGGATGTACCCACAGTAATTCAGTAGAGGCTACATTTCTTCTCTTTTGTGGTCAATCTCTGCAGATGCAAGGTGTAAGATTTGGGCCTTTGAAACCTGGTTTCCAGTTTCTCCTTGTAGAATCTTCCATTCTTATAAAAGTCATCACATGACTTAATTGGTTAGTTACGTAGTTTGTGTATTTGTTTTTACAAATACTTCCTTAATATATGCAGCCATTGAAGTTCCCCTCAGAATTTGTTCGTGTTTCGTCCAGTACTCCCGCTTCTCAACTAGCCAGAAGAGCCAGTCCCAGAGGACAATAAATTGTTGCCAGAATAAGATGCTTACATGGCACCAGGCTACTGCTGAAAAAATTCTGCAGTTTTGTTGCATTTGTGGTGCATAATCGCTGGTATTGGTAACATGCAGTTACCTATGAACTGAGAGTGTAACAAAGACCAAATCCCACCGTTCTGTTTTATTCAGTAGGTGTAAATTAATTTCTAAAAAAATAGGCTTTGTTTCTCAAATAGTTTATTTTGAGAGCCAGGCGTATGTTAGCTGATAGTTGGGATCTTCTCTTGGCAGTTTCTCGACTGGAAGAACGTGAATCGGAAATGAAGAAGGAGTATAATGCTCTGCATCAGCGTCACACAGAGGTAGGATATAATCTTTCTAAATAAATTAACTCTTTGTCTATATCTACATGACTATATCATGTCAAAGAACTCATCTTTACAATCATAGTGATGACTAGAGCTGCTGAACTTTGGGAACTTCAGAAATACCGGACTGGAGGGTGTGAAGAGGATGGAGACAGGCTGTGTTCACTGGTACCCAGTGGAGACAGGTCGCACAAACTAAGACACAGAAAGCTCACTCTGAACAAAGTAGTAAAAACTGCTTTCCTGCAAGGGCAGTTAGCCCTGGCATAGGTTGTTCAGAGGCGTGTTGGAGTCTCCTTCCTTGGAGATATTCATAAGCCACCTGGATGCGGTCCTGTGGCTGGCTGCTCTGTGTGGCCCTATTTCAGCAGGGGAGGGACTAATGGACCGTAGGACATTCCTTCCAATCTCAGCTGTTCTGTGATGCTGTGCACAGTGCCTCGCTACCTCATCTCCCATTACCAATGAGCCTCCAGGCTTACGTTGTTTTTTCAAGGGTCTTTCATTGTGAGATTCAGCTGAAGTGATTTTGGACACTACTTGCTGACAAATTTTCTAGCAGATTAGATCATTCACTTACATAATCAGCTTAGAAAGCAACAATAAACACAAGGAAGTCTGCAAAAAACTCCAGGGGATTGGAAATGGATACCACAGAAAATTAAACAAAAGCAGAAAATGAGCCTTTCCTTCTCATCTGTTTGCCTCATGGATTTTTCTCTCCTCACAGATGATCCAGACCTATGTGGAACACATTGAGCGATCTAAGATGCAGCAAGTTGGGGGAAATAACCAAACTGAGGGCAGTGTACCTGGGAGAAGGTAGGGCCATGACCTCTCCATGTGACACGTTTCACCTGGGAACTTACACACTGAGTGTGCGTGTTTGAGAGAGAAAACAGAGCAGGACCTTTCCCTGGGGACACGGATTGTAGCTGAAGCTCTGTTTTAATGGGTTCTGGGTGAGTTGTGGGTACTTGATGATGAGGAGCTTTCTATGTTGTTTTACAAAGGTGAGACTTTATCTTGAGGCTGTTGATGGGGCCTCTGGAAAACACGTTCATATTCTTAGGTAGTGTGTAAAAGTTTATCTGTAGAATAGATGAAGGTGTCAAATAAAATGTTTGTGTGTTTACATGTCTTTGTATGTGGGATAGGCAGCAAAACCGTGGCAATTAAATGCATTAGCCATTACAGGATTTTTTCACCTGTTGTTCTTTCAGAGGAAGCTTTCTGTCAATCACCAAAAATCCTACTTATGTTTAGAAAGGGCTTTTTCTCCCTTCCTGCAGTGTTTGGGTTCTGACTAGAAATAAATTGTCTAAAATATAGGAATCAATTGAGAAAAACAAAAAAAAAAAGCTAGATGTCAGCTTTCCTAGGCAGATAAGGGGTATGGAGAGCTTGAGAGGACATGGTCTAAAAAGAACCAGTAGCTTGTAAGTGCTCATCTGTTCATAAAATTTCCCTTACCAGACTATTTTTCTTCCGTATTTTCTATCCCTCACAATCTGCAAATCCAGAGTGGGCTCCCAGAACATGATCTGATCCTAGTGTTAGAGATGGAATGGGATAAGTGTGTTAGGCTTGTTTCTCTCCCAGCTTACACTTCTGGAAGTAAGAATATTTCTGTGGAAGTGCTTACAGTAAAATCTTAAAAGTACCGTAGGCAAAAGCAAACTTAGAACATCTCTTTTAAAGGGTGAGTCCTGTGTGCACTTGCCAACTTTGAGTCATAGAATCATAGAATATCCTGAGTTGAAAGGGAGCCACAAGCATCATTGAAGTTCAACTCCTGAGTTGGACTGGGTAGTAGAAATCGTTTTTAATTTCTTCCTTTCATAGAAGCTTAAAAGCTTTTACTTCCCTGGCTCTTAAATAAGCTGATATTAATTATGGCTTTATGTTAACATTCCATGATAGAGTTGCCCAGTGAAAAGTGTTGCTGGTTTTATCTGCAAGACTGGCAAAATTTTCATCAAGAATTACCTTTTCATGTCAGACAAGTTAGTCTTTTATCTTTGAAGTGTGGCATATTGCTAGTGTCTTTGGAGAGAAACACTGTGTGTCTGTGAAGAGCCCATGATGGGACTGTGATCCAAGTCTGTTGGAACTACCAGTGGGAAATGGGAGTTTTTCCTTAATTTCCAGCTTCGCGTGTGTGTGTGTGTGTGTTTGCGTGTGTGCGAGTGTAGCTCTGTTTGTTGTGCTTGTGCACAGCACCTTGGCCAGGTGTGTTTTGATGTAATTAAACAGCTGGGAGGAGCACCCGTGTTTGTGGATCTTAGTGCACTGGGTGGGGGGACGGGCATAATTTCTCATGGCCTGTGAAACAGATGTGGGTGCATTGATTTAAAATAAATGGGACTAGGGAGAAGTTTGTGCTGCAACTTTTGTGGGGGTGATGTGTATCAGTGGCCATCCAAGAGGTGTAATGAGTTTGTACCTGTCGCTATTGAGTAAGAAATGACACAAACTCTCCAGAAGGCTGGTTTGCATAAAGCATGCGTCTTTACTTCAGATCCTCTTTTATACATTGCTCCGATATAGATAGACCTGGTTGGTCAATTAATCAATGCATTTCACTTGATTGACTAATTAACAAGACACCTTGCATATAAAGTCTTTGAGAAAAACAAGAAAACAGAGAGTAGGAAAACACCACCTGCAGGTTGTTTATGAAAATAAGCTATCATTGTTTATCTTCAACTCCTTAAAGTCTCTCAGACTGATCTGGGAAAACATACTTAGTTTTCTCATTCTCTGGCCAGGCTGTCACATCCACAGTACCCACTTCCACAAGGCATGGGGGTTGCAGTGCACGTGTACCTTGTGTTTGTGTTAGGTTGCATGTTTGCATGACATTTGCTCTCTAATGGTTGTTCTTTTTGTCTCGCTTTTTGTGGAATTGCTGCTGTTTGGCTGTTATGTTTGTCACTGCAGTCATCGCCAGTCCTGGAGGAAAAGGTAAATCCTATTGCTGCATCTGAACTTCATTAATCCAAGTGTTGGAGGTTGCTGTGGAGTGGTGACAGTGTGATGCTGGGAATGTATTGTACTGGCATATTTGCTCTCTGTGTCTACTGACACGTGTGCTGGACTTGCTGGTTCAGGGGCACAGAGGGAGCCATGGAGCTGGGTTAACACAGCAGGGAGAAGCTTGTGCATGCAAATGCAGAAGACACACAAGTTTGTTCCCAAGACAGGATCAGATGTCTAGGATGGGATGTTTACACTTCACGTCCCCTAATATTTTAAAAAGTCACAGAATCATAGATCCATGGAATCGTAGAATGTCCTTAGTTGGGAGGGGCCCAAAAGGATCATCAAATCCGGCTCCTGTCCCTCCACAGACACCCCAGCAATCCCATCCTGTGCCTCAGAGCGTTGTCCAAACGCTCCTGGAGCTCTGGCAGCCTTGGGGTCATTACCATTCCCTGGGGACCCTGTTCAGTGCCCACCACCATCTGGGGGAAGAACCTTTCCTGAAATTCAGCCTAAAACTCCCCTGACAAACCTTCATGCAATTCCCTCAGGTTCCAAGAAGTTTCTTCTCTCTTATTTTACACTAGAGAGCAAGCCATGCCTGATTTTTGGCTGGAAGTAGAAGTGTCAGTGTCAGTAGGTTTCCAAAGGCACTTTTGGCTGATGGTTGGTCAGGGAGTGCTGTGCACAGAGCCTTCAAAGAGACAAGTTCTCCTCTTTAAATGCTGGCAAACAAACTGTAGTTTTGTTAGTTTTGTAAACTTCAGGATGTTGCTTGTAGAACATCCTAATCCCAGGTTTCAGCTACTGCAAACCTTTATTGGAGAGTGTGCTGTTCACCTTGTAACTCAAGGTGGAACTATCAAGTGTTAAGACTCACCCTGGCTGATCCTGGAAAGATTTGGGTATATGAGAACAACTGCAGCACTCAAAGTTTAGACCGGAATGAGTCTAAATGAGGATACTTAAAATTTATTTACATTTAAATTTGGTAGCCAATTTCAGGAGTGCAAAACTAGAGTTAGCTCTTCCTTCCCCTTTCCTGGGAAGTTTTGAAGAGGCTTGAAGGTGTTTCCAAAGAAACTCATCAAGGAAATTTCCTAACAGTCTGTGCTAAAATTCTTTCCTGAAGATTCTACAGCTTCTGATGCTACAGAGACCCTGTACCTCTTTATCAGGGACTGTGAAATTCACACATTTCCTCTCCATTTTGTGGCTCCTGTCTTTCCTTGTGTGTTAAGTATGTATGTGTTTGCATATCAACAAAAAAGGAAAAGTATAATTTGATGTCTCTCAGCCTACTTTGGGGGCAGCTTTTATGTCTCAGTGCTGTCAGGGAGTTACGTCAAGTCATTCCAGCATAGTCACTAGGATATTCTGGCTGCACCACTGGTTTAACAAGGACTGTTCTGCAGCTATAGGAAGCTTTCTCCTGCTCCATAGATCTGTGAAAGCAAGACTCTCTTAAAACTACAATTCGGTCCTGAAGAAAATGAAAGATATAAAACTAATGGTTAAACATCTCAAAAAATCGCTCAATGGCCCAATTTTATTTTCTCCATTAAAAGGAGAGATTTTTTTTGAAGTAGACTCTTAGGGACCCTTGGGTTATTTCTTAAACTGTATTACTAAGAATTTTCTGATATTGTAGCGTAAAGTGACTCTGATTTCTAGTTTTGAATCCCTTTATGATCTCTTACACATAATTAACTCTACTTTTTGTGGTGCTTGTATCTGTGCCAGGGTGAAGATTTCCTAGGAGGGAAAACATTTGCCTAGTATATTATTTAGAAGCTTTTGTAGAAACTTGAAACCCAGCTGTTAGAAACTTTTCACTAAACCTTCAGCGATTATTTAAGTTACAAATATCAAGATGCCTTTGGTAGTGGAAAGGAAAAGCTACAAGGAAACTGACAATTCCTATCACATAGAAGTCTGGGTTTGAATCTGTGGAGAATGATAGAATCATTATGGTTGGAAAAGATCTCGAAGGTTATCAAGTCTGACCTTCGACTGGATGCCCTCACGCCCACTAAATCATATCGTGAAGTGCCACATCCACACACCTTTTGAATGCTTCTGGGGATTGTGACTCCACTACTGCCCTGGGTAACATGTTTCCATGCCTAACCACTCTTTGAGTGAAGAAATTTTCTACAATATCCAACCTGAACCCACCCTGGTGCAACTTGAGGACATTTCCTCTTGTTCTATTGCTTGTTACCTGTGATAAGGTTAATGATGTTTTATCAGTGATTTGTGTTCCTCCAAAATCCAGTTACATGCCTCCTTTCTAAGAGGGTTTGTGTGTGAAACTTCCATGTACGAGTCTGGTATCTTCAGGAGACGATTTTAGTGCAGATTCCTAGGAAAAGTGCATCCCAAGCAGGCCATGCTGGAAATACCTTTCTCCCCCATCTTGCCTATCCAGGACAGGCCACAGGAGGCCTTTTTGCCTATTTGAGGTAGGCACTGATGCAGCAGTGCAGCCTACTGTGGTGGCTGAGCAGTGCAATGCTTGGAGTGAGAAGGCTGGGCATTGTGGTTTCTCTTAGCAAACATTGTCTCCTCCGCTGGGCACTCCATCTCTGTCCTTCCTAAAAGAACTGGCTGGTGTACCACCCCCTGTGTTAGTGTGTTTGCTTTGTCCCAGGGACCCTGTAGCAGTTGTTTGCTGTGGTCACAGGTGAGGTGGCTGCGCTTGTTTCCCAGCCTAGGCGTGACACCCAGTGCTGATGATCATTACAGAAAGGCACGTGGAGGTCTGCTGTTACTAACAGTATGCTACAGAAGGGCAGGTTTCATCGCACTTCCAAGATTAAGCAGAAGCCCTGTGCAGTAGGTGAAGTAGGATTAAGTCCAAGTATGGGTGCACATCACACAGAGAATCAATTTAGTTCAGCTCTGCAGGGACTGGAGTCAATTAGAGATACCCTGAACCATTTTCTGGTTCAGTAAGCTGCTGCCACAGCCTTTCCACCTCCACTGCTTGCTCTAGATTTTCTCCCACTGAAGCTTGGTCTCAAAATCTGTGCTAGCTTTTATGTTCAGAATCAAACCTGCAGCTAGCGAGTCACCTGCAGTTGCCAGAAAGGAGAGGATGAACAGAACACACTTAGAGACACCTAGCAGTATGCATGATGCATTTATTTATATCTCTGTTTAGTTTTTGAATTGTGAGTTGTTGTAATATGGGTATCAAGGGAGATCAAAGAATACAAATACTCTCTTCCTTGCTTAAAATTGGAAGTGATCCAAACCCTCTGGTTCCTGTTGTTGGAGCTCATCAGATTTGGGGTGGAATGTCATAAGTTTCATGTAGATGACACTTAAAAGCCTTATTCCTCACCCTGTGGTGACATCTCTAGTACCTACAGAGCTTTTATATTTTTGCTGTTAGAGTTGTTTGCCGTGGCTTATTTTCCTCCAGTACCTTTGTTTCTCAGAAAGACTGACTTAAATTGGCTGGTGGTTCCCTGCACTTTCATGTTCCTCTAAATTTCTCATGCTGATTGAGCAGTCAGTTGTACCTGTTATGCCCACTGACCCCAGCCATCTTAGAGTTTCCCCAGGAGAAGGTATTACTCCAGCAGTAGCACCATGGGACTGAGCAGCAGCACCAAGGAAGTGTGGGAGTTCAGAGTTCAGACAGCTGCCATGTGAGGGTAACAGTTGCATTTCAGTTTCTAGTAACTAGTATTTCAAATACACTAGTGTGCTGTTTGTTTTCTATCAGAACCTTGTACACAGCTAACACACTTTCCTCTCTCTCCCTGTTTGTCTCTTTAGCAGGAAGGAACGTCCCAACTCCCTGAATGTCTTCCCTCTCGCTGATGGCATGGTACGTGGGCAGATAGGGGCCAAGATCGTCCCAACACTGGACCACTGGCACCTGAGTGACCTCGGCCAGCTGCAGTCCAACTCCAGCTACAAGGTTTTCTAGACCATCACAGAGCAAGGGTTTCCCACTCCTTCACTGTTGATAACATGTCACATTTTCATTAAGCTAGAGACAATCTGTGTCCGTAACCCTTTGCAGCCTCTCCCTTTGTGTTTGCTCCCATAGTAGCTGTGCTGGAGGTGGGAGGATATTCTTCTGCAGATCTGGCATACGGTGCAGGAAAGATTTGATGCAGCTCCTCATGCTGCTTTGTCTCAGGGTAATCTCCTTTACTTGGCTGGCCCCAAGTTGAGAGGGATGTGTGTGGAGGCAGTTAGGGATTGAGTGAAGAGAAATCCTCCACTTCTTAATAGCTTATTTGGGAGAGGACATGGTAGAACCTGTCCCTTCTCTCCTCTTTGATAAGAGCAATAGTTCTGCAACTCAGGTGTGGCCAGGCATTGGGTTGCACTTGCCCTTAAGTGTTTGTCATTTTTGACTGATCTCCTGGCCTTCCTATATTCACTTAAAAGGGCTCCTTCTTATCCTGTCTGAACACCCAAGTCTTGCACTGTGCTTAAAGGTCGTACGTTCCTCCTATGCCTAGTCACTGCTCTAGACTTGCACTGTCTGCCTTCAGTACATCTGTCACCATTACTGCTCTGCCTTCTGCACCAGGTCTTCCAAAATCCTCACAGCATTGCAGCTGCACTGGAGCAGCTCATAGGGCTGCCTGGTGCATCTTGTGCTCTGCTCTGCCATTCAGGAGTCTCTTCTCCACTACTCAGAGATTGGTCTGACAGATTAGGCTATGCATGGTGACCCGTGTTTCCCATGAGCTATACATGTGAACTTTGCAAAGTCTTTGTGCTCAGGATCCCACCAAATTCTTCTCTTGAAATGATTTTCCACAAATTCCTGGTGACAGGTCTGAGAGCCACTGGTTTCTGTGCTGAGCACAGCTCAGTGTATCTCACTGAGTTTCTGCTGTACTTCAAAAGTGTCTGATTCAATTTACCTTCACTTTGCTTGGAATTCATAGAACATCGGCTGTTTTACGTGTCACATGGAAGGACTGACCTCCTTTTGAGAAGTTTTGAATCACTGATCCTGTAAACTACATTGATGCCATAAAGGCAAAGAGGAGATAGAAAAGAAATCGCTAGCTTGTTCTACCCATTCCACGTGTCTCCAGATTCCATGAATGGGCTTTCACATGAGGGACTCTACAGCAGTGGCCTTCTTGATGGATAGACAAATTATCAATTTACTCAGAAAACAAAGTAGCAAGTTAATTTTTTTAACACTATGTCTGTAAAGCAGCCAGGCCTAGCGCAGCACAAATGTCAGCACTTTGTCAGCTCTCTGCCATTGTGGAATTTGGAAATCCAAAATATCTTTGCTGAGGATGGAGGGTTGGAATCCAGTCCTTACTGTAATGTTAGAGGTACAGAATTTTGGGAAATGTAGCAACCTGCAGAATGCCATTCAGATGCTAGTAATTTCTGGAAAGCTCTGCCTGGAATTAGGGAACAGCAGTGCCACAGTACAATAACATAATAATGGATGCTGGAAATGAGGACAGAGCATGAATGTGTTTCTTCATACTAGTGTTGTGCTAGCACAACCAAAATGTATGGAGCCCAGCCCACCTCTGGAATCAATTATTCCTCAGGCTCCCCAGGCAGTGCTGCATACTTTAGTGTGAACAGACCTTCCAGTGATCAGGCTGGGCAGTGGGGGTTAGTTTTTGGAGAAGAGCTGGGTGGACACTGTGGTTAGATCCATCTTCCACAGCCTTGCTAAGGTCTAATTCTTTCAGTGGTCCCACTGAGAACTTGCAAAAGAAGTAACCCAGCATCTGCATTGCAGGAGAATGCAGCAGCAACCCAGATAAGTGGGAAGCTTTGGTGTCCAAGTTCAGGTAATAGAGGTTGTTCTGCTTTGGTCAGGGAAGACACCCTGCACAGGGGTTGGTACTAGGTGATGCTTAAGATCCTTTCCAGCCCAAACCATTCTGTGATTACTGACTGGATCTCTTAGTTATTTGGTGGTGATGGTGGTATCAGGCAAAAAAAATCTGGTTCCAAGAAAGCTTTGTGCAGAACTAGCAGTGAGCTGCGCCAAAATGTATCGTGCTGGGATTCACGGTGGTGCTTGTTAGGGAGACTCAGAGTGGAATGCTGGGATAAAGGAGGCTAGATGGTACAGTGGACCTAAGGAGCTTGTGCTGTGGAAGACTTGGATGGGTAGTCTGTTACGGAGAATTTCCTGAGTATGGAGCAAATTAATGAATAATTAAAGGATGCGATGGACTGACTTGCTAGTTCGGAATGGAGATTTTCCCCCCACAAGCTTCTTGCACACTCTGTGACTGAAATGCTATCTCTTAAATCCTCTGCATGACTGACTTCTCAGGGGACATGGCTCATGCCTCCCTTGCCTCTTCTTCAAAGCTCTGATATTTTGCTGACGTCACTCACATGTGACTCACCTTCCCAGTATGTACCTGACTGTTCTCACTAGTTTTCCTTCTTCATGGGGCCATGCCGTACTTACATTTTAAGTGTCCTTGTTTATTTTTATTACTATTTTCTATTTTAGTTGTTGTCATTATTTTATTTTTGCATTCAGTTTTGCATTTATTTTATACAGTGTTTTGGAGATTAAAAGTCCTTAACGTTTTTGTTTTTATGTACTATGCTTTCAGTGTTATAACCATAGAATTGTGGCTTCTCATGGTGACATATGACTGCTATGAATGTTGGGCCTTTACAATGCATTTTGGAGGTCACTACTACACAATTGATGTTTAGGAGGTTTACAGGTATGGCCGTAGGTAAGTGTTGGCTGTGGAGATTATTCTTTGGGTGAGCTGTGGGTTTTGGAGAATACCTCCTGTGCTGGAGAGAAGAGCTGTACTCTTAGCGCAATATTTAGCATTAACAGAGCACTCAGACAGTAGAAGAAAGATACCAGCTTCTGGGCTGTGAAGAGGAGCACGTTGGTAGTACATGCATTTGGGAGGAATTTCTCCAATGCAGGCTGGAAGGTTGATGAAGTGTGTTTTCTAGGGAAATACAAAACTCACATCTGTAACCAAAGAGTAGTGAAAGACTAAGGTAATTACGTATTCATGTGTTCAGGGTAAGGGGCAGGTTATGTCAATGAGCAAGAAGTTACAGGATATTGCTGATACAAATATTACCCTATAGACACTGATGATCCAGGGCTTTTGAATGACATCTGGTTCATAAGAACAAGGAATGACAAGTGGAGTGCACCCACCTGGGTGTCTCTTACACAGCTAAGACACTCCTGAACTTTGCTTATTCTCATAGAGTAAGAGTGGGTCCAAGAACATCCCTGAATTCTTTCATCCAACAGCAGTTTTGTTTGAGGAAAGGTTTTATGGTTGCACTTCACACTTGATAATCTTTGTCCCTTTGTACATCTGAAAGCACAGAAGACAAACTGCAGTTGAGGTAGTCAGAAGCTTACTGGAACCTATTTATTATCAAAAATCCTATTTGACTCTTTTTCTCTTTTTTTTTTCTTTATGTACTGGGAAAGTAGCTCCTAAACCAGGAATATGAAGTAGAGGTGGGAAGTGTGGTTTTCACATGTAGCAGCCTAAGTGCAAAGTTCTCATCTCAGTCTTGATGCTAAACCCAGCACATGTGAAGGGAGATGGTTTGGATATTCATGTGGGAATGTGGGTGCTATTTGGACTGACAATGCGGAAAATACACAAAATGTGGATTGCATTTAATGGTAGTGCCATTGTAAAAAAACTTGAGTTTCCAATATAAGTGCACAGGTGCAGTGTAAACCCTTAGACTTCCATAGTGCAGGGTGCAGCAAAGCATTCTAAGATAAGCATGCAGAGGCCAGTCTAATTAAAGGAAGATCTTAATAAAATTCCAGATTTAACAAAAATAAGGCTGCAAAGGGTTAAGTCACCATTTTTTTCAGTCTTCTCACTCATTCCATGTTGGATTTTTTTGTCATGTTGTGAAGCTGTTATTAGAACAGGAGAACAAGACTTCGAGATGAGCAAAGTGAAACTCTGTCACAGCTCCAAGGTTTGGGGGCTCAGAGCAGCCTCTGAGCAGAACCAGGCTCTCTCTAGTACAGGCACAGGAGGTGGGAGGCCAGTGGTGAAGATGAAGGCTGGGTCTGGATGTGCAGATGAATGCCACTGCACCCAATTACAACTCACTGTCGCATATAACTCAGCATTAATTATGTGACCTCCCTGCAGGCAGTAATTAGAGCAGGCTGCTCTTAAGACTGGGGAAATCTCCTTTGAGTCTGAGGAGGTCATGGTGCTGGTCAGGGCATTCCTTGTCTGACTGAAGCAGTGCTGCTTTAATTGACAAACAAAGCTTACAGTGTAAAACCCTGACAAAGCCTTGAAGCCTCCCTGTTCCTCCCCGTTTTTAGGTGATGGTACAAGAAGTGGGGCTGTAATGTCTGTTAGAACCAAGAGCCATTTTGCACATTCCATACTGAGAATCCATCTCCTGTGTTCATTTCTCACCTTTCTGAATTCTTGGGTATTGTCATCCTGCCATTTGGAAGTGGGAGACCACACCTGCTTATGCTATGTTCTCAAGCTGGACCCATGTCTGCGTAGCTCTGCATAAGGTGGTTTGGGGACATAGGTCTCCTGTGTCAAGACAAGCCACAGCATCCGAGATCAGTGTCCACTCTGCTTCTGCAGTTCAGTGGCAAAACCAGTTTGTTGTTTTCTCATCCAGGTGTGTTGGTGGCTTACAGTAATGACATCAGCCAAGACTTCTAAGAGGCCGCTTCAAATCCTTCCCAAGTGATATCCATGTTGCCTTCCAGCCTTGGGAAACACTGGCCTAGTTAGCTGCAAGTGCCAAAGCCTTTCAGCTTTCACTGTAGTCAGTGTGATCTACAGGTGCTTTTCACCTGTGATAAGGCCACCTTTCTTGAGATCACATACAAATGTGATTTGTGAAGACCAGTATTCAGTATTGAAGGGGTTATCGGCCTTATTGAAGAAGGTTATCAACCCTTTCTACAGGTGGGATTTGCTTGTTGAGCTCAGCACGAGAACTTGCTGCTTCACTGTGGTGGTAGTGCCTGGTGTCACCAGCAAACAATGGGACATGTAACTGGTGCAATGAGCAAGAACCATGCTCATAATGCTTTAAGGCAGACAGCAAATGAGACTTACTAAAATGTATAATTGTGCTTTTTCCTTTCTGTTCTGCCGCCCTGGAATTGCCACAGTGCCCCCAGGATGAAATGTCTGAATCTGGGCAGTCCTCAGCAGCTGCCACGCCGAGCACCACGGGAACCAAGTCCAACACTCCCACGTCATCTGTGCCCTCTGCTGCTGTCACCCCTCTGAATGAGAGCATCCAGCCCATCAGCGAGTACACCAATGGCACCACCAAGAGCAATAAGAGGGCACGAGAAAAGCGTAACAGCCGGAACATGGAAGTCCAGGTCACACAGGAGATGAGAAATGTCAGCATAGGTATGGCATCTGGAGCTCAGGTACTTGGTCACTAACATAATCAACTTCCCAGTGTCTATCTGTTACAGGGAGAGGCTAGGAGACTGCACTGTAAGTATATAATTTGAGGAAGCCTGACTTGGAAAGATACATGAATGAGACAGGGTTAATTGGATGTTAGCGGTTTTCTGCGTAGTAAATTTTTGAAAACATCAGTTTATATGAGTAATTTCACAAATTCACAGAATGGGAGCAGGTGACTGAGTTCAGTTCCCTGCAGTGACATGCATTCATGTCTTGGAACCTCTTTCATGAGCACTCAAGTCACGTCTTAGGCTGAGCTTTTGGGAAGCTGTTCCTGGATCTCATCAATATGAAAGTCAAAAGCTTATATTTAGTTTTCTCTCTGTATTTATTCATAAGTATTTTATATCCAGTTGTTCAAATGCCAAATTTGTCAGTGAGATTGAATAATTATTTTCCCTCTGTGCTCTTATCCCACACGGTGATTTGCTTAAAATAATTGTATCTAGCTGTTTTTCTCAGCTAAATGAGCTGATTTTTTTTTAGCCTCTTTCTCATATAAGAACACTCCCAAATCTGTGGAAGTTACAGTTGTTGTCTCTCAATTTTCCAGGGTCCTTTAGTAATTTGAATTCATGATTTCTTGTCAGGAAAGCCATTCTCTAAGCTTTAGCACCAGGCTGTTAAATAAATAAATGATTTAATAACATGATAAAAGCCCTTCAGCTGTGCCCATGTAGTGTCTGAGCAGGTCTACCCTGGATTGTGAGACTTGCAGTGGCCATCAGAAATGAAAAGTGATCTGTTTTACAGGTCATGAACTTAAAATACAAAAGGACTGTAAGATTTATCAAAGGTCATGAGGATAATCTGCAGGAGCACAGAGGTAAACGTAGGTCTATGAGGTTGGCATCTGAACCAGCTGATGATCTTCTTACCCAAGTTATTCCTTGGGAAGCAGAAGTTATAACTAAGTTATTACTGAAGCAGAATTTCTCTGCTAACATTCACAAGCTGGTTCCTAATGAAGTAAGACCATAAACCAATGTATAACATTTTTTGCTGTAGCACTGAAGGAGAACTGCCATGACTGAGTCCCAGTATGTATTTTCCTGAGGGGGCCCTCAGGGTCACAGATGTCCATCTGCCAGAGACTAGGATAGTTGTCCATGGAAGCATATGGGTTCTGAACAGCCTGCTGTTAGATTGTGATCTGGCTGTGGTCCTGGCCAAGGCAAGACCATGAAACACTTGTATCAGGAAAGCCAAACATGGATGTCAGTAGTTTGAATGCCCTATAAATACCGTGATTTGTACAGTTGCTGCTTTACAAGCTCATTAGCTATCAAGAGTTTTCTTGGGTCAAAATAATCTCTTTTTTGTATGTGTCCAGTTGTGAAGTGGAGGCTTTTTTTTTTTTTTTCACTTTCTTGGTGGAAGTGTGATGTTGTGGAATTTGCTCAGAGAAGATAGTTATGGCTTCCTTATGTGGTCTTCATATTCAGCCTTTCAGCTATTTCTCACCCCTAATGCAAAATCAATTCTCCATGCTTAGAAGTAATACACATACTTGAATTTTAATCATTTATTTTATGCATCTGTAATTAAAATGTCTGTCAGTGATGCATGTGCCTTAGAACTGAACTACCAAAAATGGTACTCAGAGGTATTTGCAGAAAAGCTTCCCAGCTTGGTAAAATAAAGCTGAGGAAGGCTGTGCTTGTGTTAGACCTGCTGGGTGTGGATGCCTGCTTTCTCAACAGATCCACATCACACTTTGTCTTCCAGCCTGGGTTTGCTGCCAGATGGCACAATGCCAGTCTGAAAGAAATTAACACTTCAGTTGTCATGGACTTTGTATATTTGGCTACTGAGATGTCTGTAAAGGTCAAAAATGTCACATCTGAGTTCATGGAGGGACTGATGTAATTCACAAATTAGGTCATTAATCTTCCAGGAATTCCTTGTGTGAACAGGCACCATGTTCATGTTGCTTGTTCAGAATAGGTGCAAGTCTGAGCTTTTGAACGTTTGATATCCAATAAACAGGACTTGACAAGAGGAAGAAATTCCTTATTCTTTAAATATTGGCTTCAGGTTGCAGATTACACACAAACCAGATTTCATTTATTGGTTTTGAAGTCAAGTTTCACTGTAATGGGTATCTAATCCAGTGCAGGCTTGAAAATTTGTATTGAAAACCTATTTCTGTTAAAAATAAATAGTGGCAGTTCCTAACAATAGTAATTCCTATGAAGCTGTACAGAAAATCACTGTTTTACCTTCAACTCAGCTAATGCTGTATAGGGAGGGTGGAGTTTTTTATTGGCAGATAAAAAAGGAGTTTTAGAATTTATTTCAATGGATAAAATATTTCTGCTTATCCCATTTTAGTGAGTGTTCAAGGCAATGACTTTAGTGATGCTTTGGAATGAGGGTGGGAAGGGGAATGCTTATGGTGTTCCTGTTCTGGAATTGAGAGACCATCTTCAGCCACTTTCTGTTCTGATTTTAAGACTTTGAACATGGCACCATGAAATCTTCAAATCTCAATAGTCAAAGCTGTAAAAGTCCCTTGAAGAAATACCATTCTCTGAAAGTCCTGATCCTGTACCTGATATGTACTGTCTTACCTAGGGATGGGCAGCAGCGATGAGTGGTCCGATGTGCAGGACATCATTGATTCTACCCCAGAGCTGGATATGTGTCAGGACCCCCGCCTGGAACGCACGGGTAGCAGGTACTGATTGTGACTTTTCCCTGTGTGCTCCGTCACTTGGCTTCATGAGGAGTGACGAATGGATGCTCTAGCTCATAGTAAGCTCACAGTGCAGCTATTTGAGACAGTCCATATATCCTGCCTAGTATTAGAGTACCTGACCTGCTTTGGGTTCTCCAAAAGGCAGATGCCTGCTAGTGATCTGCAGGAGGATGTGTGCAGCTGACCCAGGACTGGGCTCGTGTGCCTTACTGGTCAGGGGGTTTGTAGAGATGATGGAGCAGCAGAAGTTTTAAGACAAGAAAAGAGAACATGGGCTTAAGCTGTCAGGAATAGGGAAAAGATGCATTTGTCCAATAAGAGCTCAGTTCTGAATTCCATTTTAAAACCTCAAATTTCTTTCAGTTCTCATTTTTTCAAGTATTTGAGGAGTAGAGGCAGGGCTGCCCCCCAAGAGAGGACAAACAGAGGTAACCTCAGCAATCCCAATCCCACAGGCACTGGGCAGGGAGGTTCAGATCACTGGTAGTGAACCCTGTCAGCAGCTCCAGACAAAGCAAGGGTGTGAATTTGGTCTCAGTGTTACCCATGAGCAGCAGGAGACAGGACTGAAGACAGGTGCATCTTAGCAAAGAACTGAAGGCATAGGCATAGGCATGAGGTCAGAGGGAGCCCTGGGACCAGTGGGTAGGTGCGGTTCCCAGGTGAGGCTGGTCAGAGCAATTATGACCCGTCAGTGCTCTGAGCAGTGGTTACAAATCCTCAACACAGTTTTCAGAAGAATCATCAGACTTTTATTAAACTATTCTGCTGCTCTGATCCCTACCCATCACCCATTTTGTTCTAAATAGGAGGCTTCCTAAAGGCTATTGATTTTGGCACCACATTGTTGTGAGGCATAAGTACCTTGATCTGTTTTTACTCAAGTTTACCTTTTACCTTTGTCCAGTGGGTATTTTGGCACTGTCTCAGCAAAAAACCTCCCCAAAATGTTACAGATATGCAGAAAATATAGTACCCTGGCAGAGTGAAGGCAAGATTCATCTAATGGTCCCAGTCTGGACTGGATTTGCCCACCCTGTTGAGAACCCTGACTGAGAAGGGTATGAGCAGCAATAACACCTGCATTTCTCAGCTGTGAAGGCACACACAGTTAAGCTCCCCTTGAGACGTAGGATACCTGGACTATTTTTAGGGTCAGGAGGAATCTAGGGAGTTGAAACTGCTCTGTGTGGGGAAAACAAAAGTGACTGATGAGATCAGATAAAAATTTGGTCAAATCCAGGGGAAAGAAGGAAACAGAGAGGATTGATGCACTGGAGCTTTTCAGGCAGGAATCTCTACTCCAGGTGGTGAGACTGGGAGCTACAGCAGACACAGCCTGACTTGGACTGCTGACAGTGTGTGTGCTGCTCTGAAAGCAGAGTGCTTTCATGATACATATAGCTCTGAAAGCTGGATGTTGAACGGGAAAGTTCAGTCTGAATTAGGTCTCCAGGTCAGACTGAGTGCTGGTTTCTCTTGTCATTTGTGCTGACCATTGGATTGTGTGAACTGATTAATTGCAGTGCCATCACAGCACCATTTGTACTTCCTCAGTGCTCTCAGATGTTGTAGCTGCAATATCAGAGGCAGCTACTACACTCCATTTATAATCTCTAGGATTGTTTATGTGATAATGAAACCATAGAACTTGAGATCATCTCGGTTGATGCTGACCTTTCTGATACATTGCTGGAGAAATTGTACAGCTGCTGCTCATGCTGGTTGATGTTACTCATACAAGGCAGGGCACTGCACAGTGTTTATAACCCATATTAAGACAATTTTTAGAGTAGACAGCCACAATCCCAGAAGTTCCCTCACCTGCACCTCCTGTAACAACTCTGCTACTTTGAGCCATGAGGCTGTCAAGAAATACAAGATTCTTGATGGTATCAAAGACACTGAGAGGTGGAAATGTGCTGTCATCTGATAAGACTAAAAACTATTACCTTTGATTTACCTTTAATTAAATACATTTGGGGACATGTTTTTCATGTCCCCAAGTGTATTTAATGCTTTTCAATGCATAGGCTTACCCAAAGGGAAAACAGACCCTTCAGACTGATTGCACTTACTGGTTGGCCAAGTAAAAAGGCTGTTGCTATTTTCAGCATTGAATTTCCTGTTTGGTCTTGCTGGTATCTGAGGTTTCTATCTAGACTGATCGGAGCATGGGAATCCCTGCAGAATCTGACAGGTCAAAGCTGAGCTCTTCTGCGAGTTGAAATTTTTCCGTGAAATACTGAATAGTCCTTGTGTGACTTCAGAGTAAATGATCTGGGTGAGCTTTGAGGTTGTGGATGATATATGTGTCCTCAGCACAAGAAGGACTTGAAGCTGTTGGAGCAAGTCCAGAGGAGGCCATGGACATGCTGCAAGCCCCTCTGCTCTGGAGCCAGGCTGGGAGAGCTGGGGGGTTCACCTGGAGAAGAGAAGGCTCCAGGGACGCCTCAGAGCCACTTGCAGGGCCTAAAGGGGCTCCAGGAGAGCTGGAGAGGGACAAGGGATGGAGGGACAGGACACAGGGAATGGTTTCCCACTGCCAGAGGGCAGGGTTAGATGAGATATTGGGAAAAAATTCTTGTCCATCAGGGTGAGGAGGCCCTGACACCGGTTGCCCAGAGCAGCTTTGGCTGGAAGTGTCCAAGGCCAGGTTGGATGGAGCTTGGAGCAACTTGGGATGGTGGGAGGTGTCCCTGCCCATGGCAGGGGGTTGAAACAAGGTGGTCTTCAAGGTCCCTTCCAACCCGAATCATTTAATAATTCTATGATATGGGGAATAACACATGCTATTTTCTTTACTCAGTGTGCTTCCTGATTCATTCAATGGTGAACAGATGGGTTTTGATTGCAATAGTCTGAGATGCTCAGTATTTCAAAGATAAATATTTGAACTTAAATGTTGCCAAGTAACAAGATTCCTTCTGTTTTTTTGCTTCCAACAATAGCCCAACACAGGGGATTGTGAACAAAGCATTTGGCATCAACACAGACTCCCTGTACCATGAACTTTCCACAGCAGGGTCTGAGGTCATTGGAGATGTTGATGAAGGAGCAGATCTGCTAGGTAAAACCTTGTTATTTTCTCTGGTACAATGACTCCATATTAAGCTTCTAGAAACATTTAAATTCTCTTTTTCTTTCAGAACTTGGATGTTTTGGTTTTTTTAAGAATGCATGGAAATTGAGATACATGTGATAGAAGCATGTACCTACAGTACAGTAATGATTATTTAGAAAATAATCTCAGCTGTTAGATAACTTTTATTTGGGTTGTCTTTAGTGCATAAGCTATTTTTCTACGGGATTCTCCCACACAAATAATTTGAAGACAAAATTTGCTTCTTCTCCTTCTGGCTGAAAATTCCTCCCCCAATAATTATATACTGAGAGAAAAAATTTGTTTGAAATTTGTTAGAAAGTAACTTACTTGGTTAAGTTTTTGCTGTTTAAATGATGTGGGAATATTATGGTCTGTAATGCAATATTTACTGTTTTGCAGTCAGCCTAAGAGATGTCATAATTAACTTTTTAAGATGATTTTGAAGGTGTTTGTAATACCTGTAGCCAGGCTGTGTTCTGTGTTCCTGGCTGGGACCCTGCAGCAGTCAGAGGAGCAGCTTTGCCTCAGGGAGCACTCTGAGCCCTCTCCATACTTTTTCTATTGGATTCCTGAGTATCTAGATCTTGTTTTTTGGCAGAATTTAAGCATGTTTTTAATTCTTGCTATTTTCCTGCATCAGGACGGTACAAGTGGTCTTTGAATACTCAGGTGACATGGGCAGCTGATAGAGTTGATAACAGTATAGCTCATTTTCCATGTTACTGCTTGCTTTAAGGAGCCTTAGGACACATGAGAACTCCAGAAACAAGGCGTTATGTGTACTTAGCGGCAAGAGATCTGATCTGAAAGCAAGCATTTCCTTTCTGTGATTACTGATATAGATCTGCTTATGGAGAATCTTGTAAGTTTGGTTCTGTGTATGTGTCCAGAATAGAATGAGCTAAAATGTGTCATACAGACTTGCAGCAGCTCACCTTTGTCCAAATTATGAAGGTACTTGTATCAGCTTTGATATGTCTTGTATCAGGACCCTTAAAAAGCATATGTTTTTGCGGGGGGGATAGATTTTGCCCTATTAAACAAAAACTTAACCTTGAAGATGCAGACTGAAAACTGGAAAGGAGTTAATAAATTACTTCTTCTTTGATGAAAGACAAGTATCTGTGAAACCGTACTATTATAACCAATAATGTGACTGGAATTAAGAACATGAATCAGACCATCATGAGACTGCTCACAGTAGCTTTTTGATATGAGTAGGTCTGGGTTGGTTTTTTTTTTTTTTAATCATGCAGCATGTATGAGAGCCCTCATGCCATTGCCTAAAGCATAAAATCATTTATTGTTTCACCTTCAACTCAAGATTGCCAGAATAAAAAAAATCTGCAGAATACTCAGGATGAGCACACAGGCTTACTCTGCCTGCAGTGGGAGCCAGTCTGTGCAGATATTTACAAAACCAGGAATTTTGAAGGAAAAGCAAGATTTCCAGGTTTGAGAATTCCCTGGATGCTAGTAGCCATTTGCAGAAGGGCTGGGGCTCCTGCTTAAAGGGAAGCTTGACAGTAGGAACTACATGTGATAGTTAAAGCCATAGAATGAATTTTATTTAGCCAGCTTCATACATATCAGGAGCTCTCTTCCTGGCAGAATCCAAACACTAAAACCATGGATAATCTTGCCATTGACTATCTGCTTTATCTTGGTCCTCATGTCCACTCCTTCCTCATCAAGGAGTGTTCAGTTGATTCTGTGGCTTTGTCTGCTAATTACTGTGCCAACTGCTGCTTTCTTTCTCCCCCCAAAATGGCTGGGGTGTCAGATATTATTGTCTTGGAAGAGTTACTATTCTGGAAAATTACTTACTCGGTGTATGAACAGCTTCAGACAACGTGCTTCCCACTTTGGAAGCCTGCCTTCTGGAAATCCACTTCCCCTTGGGATTACCCTGTAGGCTGACCCAGCGATCAGCAAGAAATGCAGACTGTTGTTTTCAAAGGGCCAAAGTTTTTTTTTGCCCAAATATTGCATGGTTGTTCACTACAGTCTCAGATGAAGTCAAAGGTGCTTCACCTCTTCTTGCTATAAGGCTACCCAAAGACTTCGGTGTGGTGAGATGTCTGTTGTTTGGGAGTTACTACTTGCAATAAAATGTACAAAGACCTTGTTGAACAGTGCCCATGTAAGTGTGGGCCCTGAAGATCACAGTATAGTTTCTGAAGACTGCAGCATGGCTTATGAGGAGGACATTTCTGTGCTGGGACCATTTTCTAGCCTGAGCAGAGCTGCAGAACCCTTTCAGGTGATCCCATGGCAGGCCAGCAAAATAGGAAGACTGGTTTCTTTTCAAATGTGGGAGATGGACTGTGCCTTTTTTTGTGATCAACGTTGATCTAATTAATCCTTTTGCTGAGTTCTGGCCATTGACTTTGGCACAAAAGAGTGTTTTTAAAATGAATACAAAAATTGCTGGTTGTACAAAAAGAGGAAGCACAGAGAGATCTCAGGGGTTGTGTCTCTCAACAACAAATGAGACTGGTGCTTTTTTTTTGTCTTCGCACAATAGAAAGTACAAAAGAAAGTCTGGTAAAGATAGAAGCAAAGGGCTAGGTCTTAGGGCTGACAAAAATCTGTCAACATAAACCAAAATTTTGCCTTTTTTGTTCGGTAGAATGTTCTCTCTTTGTGCTGTACCTTCGAGTCTGAAGAGACACAGAGAAAATGGTGCTTTATGAACATGATATAAGGAACAAGATCCACAAGCTGAAAGAGTCCTCTAGGTCATATTTAGAGCTCGCTTCTTTCTGTAAATCAAATTCATGAATGACTCTAAGCTCACTTAAGTGAAGACTTACTACTTCCTCCAGTCTCTCAAAACTTGGCAGTCAATCTGTAAAGAATATTCTCTTTTTTTTTTTTGGTCTCAGTTCCTTAAAGAAAGAGAAATTTAATTAAAGATGACTTTAAGAGCAGGGCTTACAGAAATTACCCTTGAGCACTGACTGGCAGTCAAGTCTGATTCTGAAGTGGAAAATCCCATTTATTCCTGGTACATAAATTGGTACTCTTCATGTTTTATTATTTTCAAAAAACCCACAAAACACGTGGGTTTCCTCCTGCCACTAATACTGCTTTACATACATGGGATTGTATAGGAAGTATTCTGGAGGAAAATGGGGAGTGAGAGCAATTATTTACTAATGAGCATTGAGGACCAAATTCCCTTAATTTCTCCTACAGACTTGGGAGCACTAGTTGGCAGTTTGCCTGCATATTCACTTGTTAATCACAAGTGATCCTGGGTAGGGTCCTGTTCTCCCATCTCCCCTTTTGTCAGCTTCCCCTTCTACCAGATCCCCCTTCCTGCTCTTCCCTATCCCAGGTGTTTCCAGACACAAACGATCACGGCAGTTCTGGTGTGCTCAGTGGACAGGCCCTTTCACTGGGGGTGGTGACGGTGGTGAGCTGATTGCCCAGAGAAGCTGTGGCTGCCTCATCCCTGGAAGTGTCCAAGGTCAGGTTAGAGGGGGCTTGGAGCACCCTGGGATAGTGGAAAGTGTCCCTGCCCATGGCAGAGGTTGAAACTGGATCATTCCAACCCAAACCGTTTTTGATTCAGGTTTAGGATAACAAACTGTATTTGCTTTGGAAATTAAACAGCAGGGGGTCTCTTGTAAAGACAGTAATACAGTGTTATTAGTGTAAGTTATGTACAGTGTTGTGTACAGAAGTTGAAATGAGATTTTGAAACCAACTTTGTTACACTGTACAAAAAAAGGTTTTAAATGCAACCAGTTGTCTTTTGCAAGCTGAAGTGTCACTGGAGAGCACAGTTACAGTCAGAAGATACAGCTGTTAAAATGGCAAGGTGAGAGGGAATGAGCTGTTCTGTATTTAGTGGTAGATGACTAAATAAAGACAAAAAGAAGGTTTACCCAGTCCAGGAAGATCCGATTGCCTCAGATTCAGCTCTGGAAATCTGGGGATAGCTGAGGTGTGTGGTTGCAGTTGTACCATGGGTTACCTTTCCTTGGTGTTTTTTTCTGTCCTAAATGTAGAGTCATGCCATCAACAGCTATGGCAGGTCCTGTCCTTACTATTTCATGCCTTTTGACATTGAAATGGCTGAATCATTGTTAATTTTTTTTTGAACAAAATTTTGATTTTGTTGGTTTTAGTCACTGATGGATCCTTTTTCACTTCCTTTTTCCCTTGTCTCTCTGTGCTTCGCTGGACATGGCGCATAGGGGAGTTCTCAGGTGTGTATCTTCTGCTCAGTTCTCCTTGTTTCTTTTTTTCTGGTTGAGGTTGGATAATATGGTATACACGTGTGATACTCCCCTGCTCTTGTCCAAACACGGTTGGCTTTGCAGACTTCTCCCACCTCGCCTTGCTTGGTTGCCTCACACTGGTGGGTCCCTGCAGCGGGAGGTCCCTGCTCTGCTCACGTTCCTGCTACCTTTCAACCCGCTTTCTCTTTTGTGGCTGTGGGCAGGTTTGCTCCACAGTGTCACACTAGCCTGTTATTCAAGGTCTTAGGGCTCAAAGGGCTTTTTTTCTGCCAGGAAGGGTACTTGTAGCAGAGGTTGAGTGGCACAGACTGAGTGAGGGTCCCACTGTCCTCTCCATGGCCTGTGCTGTGAGGAGTTCCCTCCATGTGCCAGTGGCTGTGGGGGGTTACCTGGTGCAAACCAACCCCCTTTGTGTATTGTAGTGACATTAAAGACACTTTTGGGATGGGTTAGAGTGGCAAAGCCTCTGTCTTTAGTGGAAACTTTGCCTTTCTATCTCAGGAGCTGGGTGATGGCTCTGTCCTTTGTTGGGGGAGGCTGCTCGCTGCCCTAGGGCCGTGCTCTGCCATCAGGTTTGCACCTGCTTGAAAAATACACTTGGGCCATGATGCAATTTCAGTTGAAGTCAAGGGAATCTCTCTTGATTACAGTGCAAACTGGGTAAAATTTACCCTGTAGTAAAGGTGGTGACCTGGCAGCTGCGATAGCGTCATGTGCCAACAAGCTCTGCCATGTCCCTGTGCCCGGCACTGCTCAGTGTGGGCTCCGTGATGATACCAAGAAAGGGACGGCATCATCCCTTCTTCTCATTCAAACTGGTTTTACTGTAAGCCATATTTTGTGTGAACATTCCTCAGAAAACCTCCCACTGAAGTTGGGTTGGAGTTTGTTGCAGTGTGGAGGTGGATTTGGGCCTTTCTAGCCCAGATGAAAGCTTTGATACTCAGCCCCACTTTTGCTTTTTTCCCCCTGCTACTGTCCTTTCTTCACCCTTTTCACAATGTCTGTTGACCTGCCTTTGTTGTGGTGATGGGAAACTTGAGGATGTATCATACAAGGAAAATTGTGAAGATGAGGGAAGCAGATGAGGTCATCTGTTGTGATGGTTTAAACAAAGGAGGAAAGATTTAGATTAGATATAAGAAATTTTTTTTTTTTGCAATTGGAGTGGTAGTGCCCTGGCAGAGGTTGCCCAGAGAAACTGGGACTGCTTCATCCCTGGGCCAGGGTTCAAGGCCAGGTTGGATGGAGCTTAGAGAAGTGTGGTCTAGTGGGAGGTGTCCCTGCCCATGGTAGGGGACTGGAATTGGATGAATTTTAAGGTCTCTTTCAACCCAAACCGTTCTGTGGCACTCTAAAGTAAAGGCCCTGTTAGGTCAGGCTGCAGCAGAACAAGATAACTTTCTACCAAGCATCATGTGTACTGGCACCACACACTGTACATGTGCTGACGAGTTGCTCTGTTTGCTGTTTACAGACTGGTACTTAATGGCTGCTGTTTTTCTCTTCCTTTCTTCCCCTTTGTACCCATCTCTTTCTGTTCCCTTTCTCGTATGGGATGGCTCTCATAGTACGGGATGATTTCTTTGGTAAGGCAAAGGCCTCTTTTCTTTTCTTTTCTTTTCTTTTCTTTTCTTTTCTTTTCTTTTCTTTTCTTTTCTTTTTTTTTTCTTTTCTTTTTTCTTTTCCTCTTTTTCTTCCTTTTCTCTCTTCTCTTCTCTTCTCTTCTCTTCTCTTCTCTTCTCTTCTCTTCGTGCATTTTTTTATGCATTCCTTTTATCCACTCATCATCCATCCATATGTCTTGCATCACCTTGGTTTGGTTTTTTGTGGTGGTGGCAGCACCTCCAAGAAGCAGGATGCAGCTGCTCTGCAGAGGTGGTTTGAGGATTCTGATCTGTTTCATTGTAGTTGATTATCCACTTTGATGCTTCACACTTTGCCTGGCTGTGGGAGGAATATGGTGTAGGTGCTCTGCTGGACAGGGCTTTGCCCAGAGCTCACCTCCCTTTGCTCCACGCCCCAAAGGGTTGAAAACGGAAAATTTTCTTCCCATGAGCAGAGCTGTCCCATTACAGCCTGTGCAAGATGATCTTGTGGTGCCATTCCATGGCTCTGGGAGGCTTCCTCTTGTTCTTTGTTGCCAGAGGAGCCTTTCTGACCTCTAGATGGTTAAGGCATTGGGCTGTCACTTCATCACACACAAGCAGAAGCTGTGGTGAAGGATACTGACAAAATGCTGTATGGCCTTTAATTCTGGCATGGTAGCTCACCCTCTTCCCCAGAATTTTTCTCTCCCTAAAACAGCTGCAGAGAGGGATGTATGATTCAAGAATATGAAGGAAAAAGATTTAATCCAAAAAGGATGGAGATGAGCTCTTCCCTTGATGTTCTTCAGCTCCTTTAATGTTCTTGTGCCAATGTAATGCCTTACAGGCTAAATACTTAATTGCTTATTTGTAGAATCACTAAAAAATTCAATAAACAGAAGACTTCTCAGTCTTCTGACTGATACGCGGCATGTCACAAAATTAAAAAAAAGGGCTATAGATCCTTCACCTTACCAACCCGAAATACACTGTAGTTTGCATTGATGTTAGTGTTTCCCACTTTTGTGCTGTTGGAATATTCTCTGACACACGCTGGCCTGAAACATCAAAGTGATTAATTATCTGCCACTAATTTTTGAAAAGTTTTTTGAAAATGCTGCTTCTTACTCATTCTTGCTGGGAATTCGCTTTTGTCATCATAAATTCATCCCATTTAACTGTGGGAAGAGGATCTGTGTGTTGGAGTGTTTTGATGTGTTCTCACTTCTCATGCGCTGCCATGTTCCTCTAACTTCCATTTAATTCAAGTTTGTGTTGTTTTTATTTTCTGCAAATACTAATTAATCAGCAAATGACGTATCATGAAGGCTGTTGATGTCTTTGCTATGAAGGAAGAGAGAGTTCAGAGGGCAGGACAAATACTGATTATGGGGAGACTTCTTCATGCTCTGGGACCTGTGGTGAGATATGAGCTGCACCCCTCAGCACTGTCCTCCAACAGGAAGAGGCCTCTCTGCCTTCAGCTCTCAGGTGGCCTCTGTTCCACACTATAAGACAGAGACCCTGGGACTCAGCAAGTCCCTAGCAGTAGGAAACAATCCAGATATGCTTTTAGTCCCTAAATTTCACTGGTTTTATGAAACACTGAATTCAACCTTCACTCTTAGCCCCAGATGTGTCAGTGTTCTTGTAAACCAGTCTGCAGACTTCAGCTGTACATGGATGCCCAAGTGCAAGTGCAGAGTGTCTGCTGTAATGTTAAGTGGGGGTCTCAAGTGGTGGAACCGAGACTTCACATTTTAGACATCTGTGAGAAAGCTGTTAGAGTTAGGTATAGCAAGGGACAATCTGAAGTCCTATTAAAATTGCTCTAGCAGAAGGTGGAAAATGGGGAAGCCTTTCATGTGCGTGAAACTTGTCACAAGCATGATCCCAAATCATGCAAACAGAAAATTTGACTTATACTAAGACAGGAAGAAAAATCACTAGTGTACAGGACAGCAGCTTGGACAGTGTTCTGCTATCCTCTGTGAAAAACCCATAAACTCTACCTTCATTCAGTGTGAGGAATGATAAAAAATGTTTGCAATAGCTCATGGCTGAACCAGGAGTTACTGCCTTGACTTCCCCTGATTTGTATTAGTGAAGCTCTCCCCTCTATCCCTCACAAAGAGGTCTGTGAAGGTTGGGGTGAGAAGCTAGATCTGAGTTTGGATTCTGTACAGGACACGTGGGTGCCTTTGCTGGTGCTGTTTGGTCATTCAGGTAGAGACACTGCACTTTGCACACAGGACACAGGAATCTAGGGAGGCCTAACAAAAGTGATTCTTTTCCTCAAGCATAAGTTAGGCAATGCCACAAAAACTGCATGTTTCTAGGAGAGCAGGTGAAAACTGCCTGGCCTTTCTTTTCAGGAATGGGCAAAGAAGTGGGCAATCTGCTGTTGGAGAACTCTCAGCTGCTGGAGACCAAGTAAGGAATTGTCGCATGCTCTGACCTACCTGCCTGGTTATAAACAAGATGTCACCTTGGAGTAGGTCTTGGCCAAAACTCCTGCCTACTTGTTTATCTAACTGGTTGTCCTGAATACTTGTTCCTTCACTTGTAGAAGAAGAATTGCTCTCCTAAGCTGTTTCCTAGCTATTTCTTTTCTGCAGACACTTGGATAAAGCCTCTAGGCATGTGCTGGTAGGGCCTGATGCCATCTGAGATCAGTTGCAAGCTTTAAATTCGGTGGGAATCTGTGTGTTGGTCTGAGCCTCTGTGAGGATGCTGCTGATAGTAAGGTTTTATTTGCAAGGTTTGTTATTAGGAAAAAAAGAATTCTCATTGTTGAGTTCTTAAATATTTCGTAGTTGATGGAGGAGAAGCAGACAGTGTAATGAAGCTGGTTTTTGAGAAAAGCTGGCAAACCAGCTATTAAAGTTGAGGAGCTGGGAAGAGGAAGGCCGAGTACTCCCAGGGGTGAGCTGGAGAACCTACTGTAATGGGAAGCTACCGATTTATTAAATTTAAGATGTTTTGGAGTTGATTGGAAATGCATATTTCTGTTGCCATCATCTGCAATTATCCTCAGTTGCAGATGACAGCAATTCTGAAGGGTGTATTTCAGACTTCCATTCTGCCAGAAATAGATAGGTTGCTCTACACGTGCCTTCTTCAGTGTTCTGTCATCTTCCAAAGGAGAGGTTGGTTTGTTAGTCAGGATACAGAAATGAACAAACCTTGTATTGAAGAATTATGGTGACTTCTCTGTTCTTCTGGGGCTACATCTTCCCAAAGTTTAATTTCCCTTGAGTCATAGCTGGACTGAATTGTTAAACACACTTGTTTCAACTCCCGTAGTAACATCTGTGACTTTAGTTAAAGGTTTCTTTTATGGACAGCTGCTAGTTGTGGGGATTTTTGCTTATTGTCCCTTTCACACCTTTAAGAAATGCTTTGAACGTTGTGAAGAATGATTTGATTGCCAAGGTGGACCAGCTGTCTGGGGAGCAGGAGGTGCTGAAGGGAGAACTGGAAGCAACAAAGCAGGCCAAAGCCAAAATAGAAACCAGAGTCAAGGAGCTGGAGGAGGAGCTAAAGAGGTGAGTGATTACCCCCCTGCCCCAAGGAACTGGGAGTGAAGAGTGGTAAACCCGCCTCCTCTGTTTTACTCTGTTTCTAGCATTAGCATTCAAAGGTACTTTAGAGAGCACAAGAAGGCAGGATTAGGATTCTGAAGCAGCGACTCCAAACCTAGGCTCCCTGGAGTGGGGCATTAAGGGTGTAAATTTGCAATTAAAAGCCAACCAACCGACAACAACCAAAACCACCCAAAGAAGGGGAGTTTCAAGACCAATAGTTTTGAAAGAAACTGCCAAGAACTTGGTCCCCCTAGCAGCCAGGATAGCTCTGAAAGAAATGAATGCCGATTCATTTACTGAAAGAGCTCATACAGAGTTGCACAAGAAATATTTAAATGCCTATATTGGTAATTGTTTCATTGCTCATGTTAAGAATGAGAAGAGGCAGAAGAGATTCTAAAGTCTGATACAGGAATATGCCATTTTTTATCTTCCTTTCAAACTAGAGAAACTAAAGCCCAGCTGCCCAGCAAAGCCTGGGATGGTTTCACATCCATACACACAAAGCTGCCTCCTGGAGCTCAGAGCAGAACAGTTCCATTGTGGCTGGCTGTGCATAACTGCAGGTGCTCAGGGCAGAGGACAGGGCTTGTTCTCCAGCTGGAATCTAGAAGGTTCAGTAGTCTGAGCTCAGAATCACCAGGAATAACACAGACCGGTCTCTTTATTGTTCAGAATGTCTGAAATGAAAGTATTCTTGCAAGTAGGAAGATTTTTTAAAATGCCTTTTGTAATGCCTCATAAAGTCAGAGTTCAAAGAAACTGAAACCACTTACTTAAATACTTCCAGTATTTTTTATCAGGGTTTGGTGTTCTTTTTGGTAGACTTAGCATTTTGGCAAACTGTTCTTCACGTTAGGGGCTTTTTTCACTGTATTGAATCACAAAGAATCAGAGAATCTACTGAAACCAGAAGCAGTCCAGCAGAAGCATTTAAGCCAGAATTTTCCCTATTGAGAATGGCTCAGTTCTCATCAAATATTTGAATGCAGATCCTGGTTCAGAAACAGAAACTGGCTGAATTCTTCCAATGGTCAGTATTCTGGTGCTCACAACAAATGTTTGAAAAAAATAGAGGTGAGGTCGGTGAAGCTGTTTGAATGTGCTGGAAGAGGGAGGTAAAATGCCAGAGAAGCATCTCAGAATTTGTACACTCGATACACATGGTGATGGATGCAGCCAGACTTCTCATAGCTGGTTCTCTCCCCAAAGCCAGCCATGGTATCGCTTGCTGTTTTTTATCCCTTTCTTCCTGTTTCCTAGAGTGAAATCTGAAGCAATCGTTGCCCGACGAGAGCCCAAAGAGGAGGTGGAGGATGTAAGCAGCTATCTCTGTACAGAATTGGTATATGACATTACTAAAATGCCTGCGGGGAAAGGGGGTTGATTTACTTACCTGTATTGCTTCATGTATATGAGTCCTGAGATGCAGATTGATGTACCTTTGTTAGCAATGAGGGCAAGGGTGGCTCATGGGCTGTGGCTCATGGGCATGAAATCCCTTCATACAATTTTTAAACCAGAATCTGGCACAGAGGAGCAGCTGACCCAGTGGCAGTACCACTGTGCAGGATGTAGTTTCGGTGGCTGGGTGCTAGAGCACTGCCCTGCTCAATACCATCCTAATTTAGAATCAAAATCTAGTGTGCAGTGTGGATTCTCTCAGGATGTTACAACTGTCAGGCTTCTCCAGAAGAGCCTGTCTTCATGTAGGCAGTGAAGATGTAGCTGTGAGGACATCATGCAGTGAAATCCAGTTTTCACAGTCAGCTTTGCAAGAGTGACTACCACCATGTCTTAGTGCTGCGTTTTTCTTACTAATTCTTTTCCATGAGCCAGTATTGCTTGTTATAGCGTACAGGCAGAGAAGGCTCGTGGGCTGTTCTTCTAGGACAGCTCTTGAAACTGTTTTGGCTGGGACAGAGGCTGTTCAACAAAGACCAACTGTAGCTGAAAAAAAAAGGCAAATCAAGCAGTAACAAGATTTTCCTTGTAAATGTTCCTGCTAGGACAGGGAATTCAATACATTTACTTATGTTATTGTTTTCTTTCTTACACAAGGTGTCAGAGGAGGTTCAGTTTTAGCCTAGATCTCTTGACTTACTTGGAGTGAACTTGGTCTGTTGAGAATTTAGGTAGATGGGAACATTTTCAAGTTGTGCTCATGAGCTGCTGAAGAGAGTTGGATTTGTTTTCAGTTGAACGGACAGGAGTTTTGGTTCTTTTTATAATTTAAAAAATAATTGATAAATTCCTTTTTGTTTATGCAGTTCTTGTTTTAACCATATCTGTATATGATTATACAGATTCAATTCGAAGTCCTGGGAGGCTAGAGAGGGACTTGGTTAATTCGTGCTGTTCCAGCTCTCAGCAGCACTTACCAGCCAGGCTGAGCTTGGGAATTGCCACAGTCCAGCACAACCTTCTAGTAATGAGTTCCCCAAACCCTTGCAGTCTTTATTTTGGCCAGATATGTTTTTAGTCATGTTGTTCTCATTTTCCACTTTTCAAAAGAGACAAAACAGACTTTTACTCATTTTGTTCCCAACCCAAAGCTGCCTATGCCCTCATTGGAAGGTCAATTTGTGTCACCAAAGAGGAAAAGCTGTTTCCTTAGTTTCCTGTATCCTACCTTTATCCATGTGTACTAACAGAATACCTCCTTGCAGTCCTCCTGAGGGAGCAGGTGGCATTATGTGGTGCTCCCTGCTGGTTGTGACTGTCTTTGCTACTGAATTGAATCTTTGGTTTCCAAATTTCTGGACCAACAGACCACTGTCAATTCTTACCATTCCTTGCAGACTGTCAAGGCACCTTTCTGGCAGTAGTCCCACACTGGGGTGTGTGTATGTGAGGGCTATGTGTTCAAGTTGGTGGTGATTCTCATTCTAGTTTCTGTGGGTTTGCTGAACACCCGGAGGTCCATGGCCATAGTTTGGAGCTCACTTGTCTGAATTAGCTCCTCATATGGGGAAATGGGGGTGAAATCAAACAGGGCAGGAGAAGAACTAACAAATATGTGTCTGTCCCTGACGTGCCCAGTACTAACCTCAATCCCATTCCATCTTTTGTTGGCTGAAGCAGTGCTCCTCCCCTCTGCAGGACAACATTCCCATTGCCCAGCGCCGGCGCTTCACCCGTGTGGAGATGGCCCGGGTCCTGATGGAGCGCAACCAGTACAAGGAGAGGCTGATGGAGCTCCAGGAGGCTGTCAGGTGGACAGAGATGATCAGGTGAGGCTGGGTGTTGGGTAACATTCCTGTTTAGGACAGAACCTGTTCATGTTTTACCTTGTGGTCAATGCAACCCCTACCAACACAGAGTTGAGAAGCTTTCCAGATTGGAAGTTTTCCAGATTGTAGATGCTTTTCTCCTAATACCAATTCTTTCTCTCTTGTTCCTGAACCTGGGCTGCAAATCTCATGTTGCCACTGTTATTTGGAGACACTGGACACTTGTTTGTCTTGCTTGTTTCTTGTGTGCTTATTAATCTGAGAGAAGCTCTAGGGAGGAGTATTGCTTCTGATTGATGAGTTCTAAAGGCTATGGCTTCAAGTGACTTTAATGCTACGTTCTGTAGTTCCCACACTGACTGTGGCAGACAGTTTCACAGAGAGTTGATAATCACGTTAAACACACTTACTTGCCTTTCACTTTAGCCTTGATACTTAAAGTGGCTGGGTGTGCTTGCATTGAAGACCAGGGCATATGTCATTCCCCAGAGTCTTTTGAAACACATTGGAATGAATTCTGACTTTCAACATGGCTTCCTTAATGGAAATGACCTCATGCCTGGCAGAGATGCAGAAATTAACTATGTTCTGCTGTGTTTGTCCATAGAGCTTCCCGTGAGCACCCATCCGTGCAGGAGAAGAAGAAATCCACCATTTGGCAGTTGTAAGTTCTTTGGTGATTCGTGCAAGATTAAGAAAACGGGGAGTGTTGCCATTTCTACTTCAGACGACAACTTAGTAGACTCTGACATAAATGTCACATAGAAGTTGGCTTAACCCTTTTGCCTTCAAACCCCAGAAGGGTTGTTGGCCTTTTGCCTTCAAGGGCTTCCTTTGTCCTTGATGAAGTTAAAATCAGATCTGACCGTGCACATTGATTTTGTTTCACAAGCTGAAAAAGTTAATGAGTATCCTGGAATGGAAACTCTCATACTCTGTCCTGGTTTAGGAGGACACACTCACAGTCAGTTGTAATAAAGGGCTGTTTTCAGAAAGTACCTGTTTCTGGAAGCTAAAAACACCTTATGCCAATCAAACCAAGGATGTGGGTCTGAGTTTGAAGTAGAGCAGTTTTTGTGACAGGCTTACAGCCTTTGATCCCAACCTCTTGCTTCCCCTTTTGTGTATCTATGGTGCCTGTATCCCCAGGCACCTTTTCTCTTACTTGTTGGCCTTTTTCTGTCATTAGCTTCAGCCGTCTGTTCAGCTCTTCCTCCAGTCCTCCCCCAGCAAAGAGGACCTACCCCTCTGTGAATATCCACTACAAGTCTCCCACCACGGCGGGGTTCAGCCAGCGGCGCAGCCACACCATGTGTCAGATCTCCTCCGGCAGCCGCACCCTCGAGTTCTTCCCTGACGAGTGAGTTACAGGGCTGTGTGCCAAGCCATGCTCCCCTGCAGCTCTCCCAAAGAACAGCAGTGCTTGAAATCAGCTATTTTCCACTTTGGAAACAGTCTGTGTGATGTTAGTATGTTGTTGCAATACGACATGAAATGAACAACACTCACACGCTGAGATGTTTAAGGTGAAAAAAGTGCGTTTATTTCTGGACTTTGATATTTATAGAATTCCAAAAGTGACTGTGGATTGGAGAATGAAATTGCCACTTTTCCAGCTACACTGGTCAAACCAACAGTCTGTCAATTCTCTCTTCTTCCAGAACGGAATGCAAAACAATTACTATTTACATGAAAAAAATGCTTGAGAAACTCCATTACAAAAATGTAAACGTTAGAAGGCTTACAAGAACTTTAGAAGAACAGGGCAATAGTATGTCTCTGTTCTCTGAGGCTTATCTCCCTGAGCTTTCACTCATCAGTTACTATGTGGATGGGTTCAGCAAACCTTGTCCTCCCAAACACAGTATCCATGGCTTTTCAGGCCATCTCAGCAGGGACCACAGGAGCTCAAGGTGGCCCCACTCTAGTTCTGCACTTGTATTTGAAGACCAGGATGGAATGAAGGAGGGTTTTTGTGGTGGAGTGTGATGGCAGTATCAGGACAAAGGGATGAAATGTCTGCACAACCCTTTTGACAAGGGGTTTAAGTGAAGATAAAAGTTCTCTCCACAGCACATAAAAGTTCCAGTACTTGGTTTTAATTTAAACCATGCTAAAAATGAGCCTCTGAGTATCACTACTACGGTCTTACCCAAATTCTTTGTGTCGCTGACATGAAGGGAGAGAACTCTTCAGTGCTTTACATGACTTCACAATGTGTTCTGCCATTGCAAAGGTTGTTTGGTTTCACATGGGGGTGTGTTTTTATGGAAGGACTTTGGAGAATGTGGTGGTAAAGTAGGACAACTTCTACAATAAAAAGGATTTGTTAAAAAAACACTGGATCATGTAGAAGGGTAAATTTAAACTTTTTAGATATCCACTGCCCTTATTCCATCTTTTTCTATGCTGACATCTCACAGTCATGCTGTGGGTGTCTGAGTACTTCTCAGCAGCGTTTTACATAATGGGGCTGCCTACAGGATTAAATTTTTCAGCTGATGTTGTTTGTAACTCAGAATGATACCTCAAAAACCTTTTGAGAGCTGGAACTGACAAACAGCATTTGTTTCTATTAAAACATGTCTAAAAGCTCACGCATCAATTTTTGGTTTAAGCTTTGCCAGTGCAAACCTGGAGTTGTTATGTTGGAACCAGCAGTTATGCGTGTTTTCCTTGTCAGCAGACAAAGCTTAAAAAGGGACAGAAAAATCCGTAGTTGATTATAATGAGGAGGGAAAGAACTGAAAATGCCTTTCTGATGGAGACATTAGATTAGTAGATTGTAACAGCTCAGCAAAAATTGGTGTGATCTCCTAGGTTTTAGAGAAGGATTATTCCCTGTTTTTGAAGGGCTCTTGGAACATCATAAGAGGCGATGACAATGACTTGGCTTGCCACATCGCTCAGGTGATGGGTCAGAACTGCCTGTGTCTGCTTCTCAACAGAGTTTTTCTGTCTCTGACTCCCTACATCTCTTTTCACAGCTGGATTTGGTTTGCTGTGTGTGCCCTCCCTGATACTGGCCACACTCCCTTCACCCTCAGCTCCTCTCTTTAACCGTCAGCTGGGTGATGCTGTGCTTCTCTCCTCAGTGACTGCACGTCCTCGGCACGCCGTGAGCAGAAGCGAGAGCAGTACCGGCAGGTCCGGGAGCATGTGCGGAACGATGATGGGCGGTTGCAGGCCTGTGGCTGGAGCCTCCCAGCCAAGTACAAGCAGGTAGGGACCATGCTCTGGACAGGCTGAGTGGAAGGTGACTTTAGTCATTAACTAAGGACCTTAGTCATTAACTATTTAATTTAGACATACCATGTGCATGTTTTGTTTGTATGATAATCGTAGGCACAGACCAAAATGATGTTCTGTATATTTCCACCAAAGTCAATGGAGGGACATTCCTCTGCATGAAAGTACTGAAACTGAAAAGTACCTAAACCAAAAGTACCCTAAACCAGAATCCAGTTCTTTTAAAAATAAATTTCCTTTGTTATAATTGGGCTGGAACATTAGTTATTTCATTTATCCTCTGAGAACTTTAACAGTCATTTAGTATGAAAAACAGATGTAGTTTATGCCCACTTCTTCCCATCAGTAACACGAAATCAAACAACATCAGCCTCATTTGTTGGCCTGTGACACATTTAACTGGTCAGAGACCTCCTGAAAGGGAGGAGCCTGGCAGCATGACTTGGAGGTTTCAAGCCATAGAGTCATTAAGTTTGGAAAAGACTTTTAAGGTCATCAAGTCCAACTTTCAGGATGGAAAGGAATGCTAGTGTCCTGACTCTTTGCAGGGAGCATCCTGTCTATCAGCACAGCAATGTGTAGTCTCTGTGGGCCATCACTGGGGCACTGATGACTGTGACATGGTCTCTTGGGTGTGCTGCTCCTCTCCCCTTAAGGACTCTTGTTTCACACAAGATGTGATAGGAAGCCTCAGCAGCAGCCACCTGTGGTTGGTTCTGTCACACTGATTCTTTCTCTCTTGCCGTATCCCGGTGTTTGCAGCTTTATACTGTCTTTTTTGTCTTCTCTCCCCCTAGCTGAGTCCCAATGGTGGTCAGGAAGACACTCGCATGAAAAATGTCCCTGTGCCTGTATATTGTCGCCCACTTGTAGAGAAGGATCCAACTATGAAGGTACGTTATTTCTGTTTGCCATGCAGTCCAGAAAGGGGACATGAAATAAGCAAAGGATTTGGGGCACTAAACCTGCCATTTTTACAACAATCTCTATTCTTTTGACATTATATATTCCAAATTCTATCTTCCACTTCCTTTTTTTTGAATGGTGGTTTGTAGTGAATGTAGCAAAAAGTATTTCAGGACAAAATTCCCAGCTGGTTCTGGTTGCTAGGTCCCCTGCTGCTCCCTGACATCTTTTGCTTTTTTGAGACAATTCATCAACAACAGCAACATTTTATGCTTCTAATGCTTTTGCTAAGACTCCTCAGGGTGTAATGAAAACTAATGTAAAAATTCATGAAAATGACCAAGTGAAAGTAAAAATGCATTTCATAACTCCTTAGATTCTACTGTTGACCAGAATTCATTGGTAACAGGCCAGTATTACCTGGAGTAGATTTTTGTGAAGCCATGTCTATTAATACTAGCATGTTTTGAGTAGAATTGCAGTTGGGCATAAGCTGTGTAGGTGGCAGACTTACCTGCTGTAACTGGTTGTTTTGAAATAGTCAGTTTGTCATTACTTCATTCAGAGATGATTTTTAGAAGTCATCCCGATGGTTAAATTGTAAGAAAATTTTTATGCTGTTGTTTCTAGAAGGTTCTAGTTGTGATCTTTAGATAATGTTCTGTGCAGCATCTTTTCTTTAAGGTTTTGGATAAATCTAGTATTTCTGTAGTCCTCTTCCAGACATTCTCTTAAAAAGCTCCCTGGAAATAATTCATTGGAGGTTAGCTGGATTTGATTTCAGAAAACTGCTTATTTGAGAGCTAAACCAGCAGACTGTTTTTCCACGCTTCCAGAGATGGGGTAGCCACAGGCTTCTCTCGGGGTAACTTCACCAGCCTCACATCCTCACAGGGAAGAATATCTTTCTAGTGTCTCATTTAACCTGTCTTCTGTCAGTTTGAACACATGAAACATCTGTCATGTCCTGGCTTGCGTTGCTGCAGTGACTAAAAAGCAGTGATGTTGCTGAGTAGAGATCCTCTGCCTTACCTCTATCAATCTGGATGTCTTCTAGTAGAAATCATCAAGATCTGGTGTTTCCAACTAAATGTTTAGATGTTTGGCATTTGACAGTTCTCCACAAAGGTGCCTAAATTCAAGAGACCACGGAACCTGCAGAATTCTTAGTTCAGATTCCTGCTTCTGTATTGGTATTACCAGTGTTGTGGACGGGACTTACCTTGGCTTATCTAGCCCCTGTGACTAAACCAAATAGTGGCAACTGTGGTGCTTCACCCCAGAGACACTTGGCTAGCTGGGTGTTGCAGCTGGGTGCGTGGAGAGAAGTCCAGACCTGCTGGGGCTCCGGTGGCAGTGAGATGGAGCTTCCTTTCGTAGAGGGTCGCTCCTCAGGTTTCCCTGTGCCAGAGGAGCTTTAAGGTGGTAGTGAAGGAAAGGAATCGGTTCTGATGGAGGGTTTTAATCCAGAGCTTTTATTCTGGCCCACAGGCCTCTGAATCCAGCAACCCCTCCAACAGAACTCCCGGACCGTGTGGTTGCTCGGACCGTGTGGATGCTCATCCTTTTACCTGGGGCAGGGGAGGAGGGAAGGGATAGGGAGCCCACCAAGCAGGTATGGGAGAGGAGGTCTCAAGGGACAAAGGACACCTGGATGGCCCAATGCCTCCCCGGGGGTAGAGGGCATCTTTTGAATCTTCCCAGTCACTCGACACCCTTCTGGAATTCCAGGATTGACAGACAGTGCTTGGCAGGGGTCAGGGTGGGGAAAGGAAGGATGATTGACAGACCTGGGAGGGAACCTTTAGGGGAGAAACTCAGGGTTCTGGGGTAAACCATGAAGTCACACTGCAACACTTCTGTTTCTTAGCTGTGGTGTGCAGCTGGAGTAAATCTGTCAGGATGGAGACCTTTGGAACAGGAGCCTGGGAATGGGCTGAAGCTAGATCCTGGGCATGATCCTCTCACTTGTGACAGGGAAGTGGAAGGCGAGAACAACAAAAGTAACCATACATCTCCTGAGAAAAAAAAGGTCAGAAAATAAAGTGGATTTTTTTCCCACTGATGTTTTTTCTCATTTCATCCCTACCATACCCCCTCTCTCAGTATCTTTGTACTATGCCATAAAATGCTCTTGTACTTGTGGGACTGTGCTGGCTCTTCTCTTGACTTTTGGTGTGATTTGGGACAAATCATCCAGTATAAAGTTTTCCAACTTCCACTTTTGAAATGTTTGGAATTTTGAATAAAATCCTAATAATAAGGGCAGTTAAATGCTTGATTGAAGTTGCTGGGAAGATTTTATAGCACTCATCATTGTAAATTAATAAATACATTCAGGCAAAGCTTTGTTAACACAGTCTGTGAGTCCATTTGGGCCTCTTGAGATTTAACCCAGTTCTGGTTTTTGGTAGTCTTAAGTGATTTTTTTTTGTTTTTTTTTTTTTTTCTGTTTAAAGAACCAAATCATAATTTGCAGATAATAATACAATATTTTTACACTGTCTGGTTTGTAGGGTTTTTCTCCACACCTGTCTTATACTGCTGCCTTATACTCTCCCGAGACCAGCTTGCTTAAGCTGATCAGTTGGGTGCATCCCAGACTCACAGCATTCTGGATGACTGAATATTCAGTGATACATCTGTCAGATGGTCTCAACAGAAAAATTAGTGGCCACATTGCTTTTGCCCTAAGAACTCAGGCCAGTGCTCTAGATACTAGTGCAGTAACATGAATGGAATCAAATTCATAAAAATAAAAATATAACTGATTAGACAACAATATAAAAAAGACAAGTTTCTTCTATTGTAGAATAGAATATATAATTTAAAATAAATTACACCATGTGTAAGTGTTGCCAAGCACTGTTAAGCTCAGGTTGATCCAAGAGAAATGGGCTGATCATGCCTATGTGTGTCTGCTTTCCCAAAGGCAAAGGAGCTCCATGAGATGGATGCCACATCCAGCCGTGTCTGGATCCTCACTAGCACGCTGTCAACCAGTAAAGTCGTGATAATTGATGCCAACCAGCCTGGCACAGTGGTGGACCAATTCACTGTCTGCAACGCTCATGTGCTCTGCATCTCCAGCATTCCTGGTGAGTGCAGCCCAGGCTGGAGTCTGCACAGGTCACCTGCCCCACTGAGGAGTAATAGACATCCTCACTTGGGAGCTAACCCCTGGGCTGTGTTGTGTTCTGTAATTGTTCCCCAAAATCATAACCCAGATCTTGCCTTCCTGTAGGACCTTTCTGTGGAGATCCCTCCCTGTTCAGTGTTCAGTTAGTCTTTCCTTTGGTACACAACAAGTGTTTTTTGGAAGCAGGAGTGAGCTTTGTCGGGCATGGAAGGGCTCTGTACCTGCATTGAATACTGATACTAGGGATGAGGGGATCTGCAGTGGATCAGACTGCTGATGGATGGTGTGGTGCTTCCCCAGAGTGGTGAACCCTGAAGGATCAGAATCTCCCATCATTAGGGTGATCTCAGGAGTACATTAATTTAGCCGCGATTGCTTGATTTACATGAGAACCTGTTCTTTGCCTTCAGCGGCCAGTGAGAGTGACTATCCCCCAGGCGAGATCTTCCTGGAGGGGGATATGAACCCCGAAGAGTCAGCTGGAGCAGATGGTGTCTTGGCAGGGATCACGCTGGTGGGCTGTGCAACCCGCTGCAATGTGCCACGAAGCAACTGTTCCTCGCGTGGGGACACACCTGTTCTGGACAAGGGACAGAGTAAGTTTTGGGATGTAAAACTTAGTGACATATCAATTACAGCTAATCCTGTCCGAGCTCATGGTGTTACAGCCACATTCTCTTGTCCCCAAGTTAAGCACTTCAGAGGCCCTCAGAATTTTGTTACTACGATGCAGGACTACCAAAGGCCCTTTTGGTACATTTCTTCTTAGAGCCCTCCTTTCTTCTCTGATTCACATGCTGCAGCTTGGTTGCAGGAGTCATACAGCAGAGTATTTTGGGTATGTGAGATGTTTGCCCTTCTACCGGTGCTGCTGTTCTGATTGCTTTGTTCCCTGAGTGTTGGGAAGCCAATTAAGCTCCCATGCAAATCATACTGCTGCCCTTGCTGACTCCATACTGTAGTGACAGCGTTGGAGCCCTTCCAATGCTGTGCTATGCTAGTCACAGATTATGCTTCACTTTAAAGTAGTGTCTGTTTCCCATCCAGGCAGAAGATACCTGATGAGCTGCTGTGTCTGTGGCACAGGCTCAGGGCTTGATTGAGTTTGGCAAGGAAAGATAAAGAATTGACAGCCTGATATCTATATAGTTAACTCACCGACTGATTCTTCAGCATGTCTCACATTGTTCATTGTCCTTCAGGTGAGGTGGCTCCTGTCTGCAATGGAAAGATCAACCAATCTCAGTCTACTGAGGAGGCAACAGAGGCTACAGAGGTACCGGAAAGCAGTGCCAGCGAGGCAGAGCTGACACAGGCCCGGCCTGGGCCCCTCACCGAGCATGTGTTCACAGACCCTATCCCAGCCCAGGCACCCAGGCAGAATGGGTAGGTGAGCTGGGGTCAGAGTAATGGTTCTGTTCTATTACTGATCCGTTTTCATAAGCTTTGTGATAAGAGAAGCAGCCTGATCTTCTGATAAAGTTCAGACTTCTATCAGTTTTGTGCCCAAGCAATTTTACAGGTGGGATAACAGGGAAGGAAAAAAAATGTAATGAAAATGGACATGGCTCAGCCTGCTACTGGCTGGGTCAGCTGTTAAAATGCAAATATTTGACCTCTCACTGTGCACTTAGACCTGTGGTTAAGGCAGATCTCCCAAAGTATGTGTACACTTCATGTTCTTACTGAAGGAGCTTACTGATATGTGTGTAGAAATGATGATTGATTTATTCTAGTAGTACCTCTGATGTGCTGTAAAAGTAACCAAGAAAGCATATTCACCACTCCAAAAGCTTAAGACAAACAAAGCTGATGTGATGGCCTGAAGAACAGGGTGGAAGTCTTGGATGCAGATTGTTCCTGAATGCTGATGTTCTGAGTTGCTTCTGTTGAAGCTGCAGATAAACAGAGAAAATATTGTTAGTGTAATAGTCTTGCTAAACTCAGTCAGGGTCTGTAGATTTGAAGTACTTGTTGTTTGTAAGGAGAGGAGAAAGGAAATACTGTAAATTGCAGATTTGCAGTTGAAAACTACCAAAGAGAAGGAAGCGATTTGTGTCTTCAAGGGCCCATACCTGTCTGTGAGTGCCAAGTTGTGGGCCTAGGTGGGCATTCTGTGCACTGCTGCTGCTAAATTTCTAACACTGTTCTTTTGCCCCTTCAGGGAGAATGGGCAACTGAAGATGGAGCCCAGCACAACACTGCCAGATCAGGAGTCAACCAGGGATGCTGGGACCTGCACCAGTGCCGCCCCCACCATGTGGCTGGGAGCTCAGAACGGCTGGTGTGTCCCCCTTGGGATGGCATATCTCTGTCACCTCCCTGCTCTGTGCTCTCTTTTTCAAGTCCACACACCTTTTGTTCACTGCTTGTTTCTGGAGAAGGTTTCCATTCCTCATTTCATTGCTCAGCTCACCATAGTCTCAGGGATTTAACATCACTTTCTTACCTTACCTCCACCTTTCCTACCAGAAGGGAAGACTCAAACCTGGGCAGGCTGAAGGTGTGGGGCTCTGCTGCTAACCCTCCCCAATTTGTCCTCTCTCACAGGCTTTACGTGCACTCGGCTGTGTCCAACTGGAAGAAGTGTCTGCACTCAATAAAGCTGAAGGACTCTGTGCTGAGCCTGGTGTAAGTGTGTGTTGTAAGGGACCTGAAGGAGAAGGTTTTGGGGCCTGAGTGATGCTTTAGAGAGGGTTAGCAGTCTTGGTTGTAGACTTACAGAATCACAGAGTGGTTTGGGTTGGAATAGACCTTAAAGATCCTCTTGTTTCAACTCCCTGCCATGAGCAAGTATACCTTCCACTAGACCAGGTTGCTCCAGGCCCCATCCATATTCCCAGTCTTGAACACTTCCAAGGATGTGGCAGCCACAACTTTTTCTTTGCTTTCCTGATTGCATTGTTTTGTGAGAGAAGTTTCCCAAGGTTTTTGTAATGGGAAAGCTTCATACCAACCCATTTTTCTGCTCAGTTGTGGTCCTGACCTGATTCAGTGAATGCATGTCTAGCAATACCAGGGGGAAGTAAGTGGGGAGGAGAAAGGCAAAATTTCACTGAGGGGTAAATCAGGGGGAACTTGTTGAAATTGATAGTGTTTGTATTGTGAAGGAGAAGAATTCCCTCAACAGAAAACTCACAGATGTGATAATCTTACTGCAGTGAAGGTAAGAGGTGTGACCTCTTGCAGCATGTTCCTGCAGTGCTAAACTGACTGGGAATTCTGGAGACTGTGTAAAGATGGTGTGTATGGATGGCAGGAAGAGTTTTTGAGTCCCTCATTTCTACTGCATTTTTAATGTATTTACTATTCTGTTACTTCAGGCATGTGAAAGGGAGGGTCCTGGTTGCTCTGGCAGATGGAACACTAGCCATATTCCATCGGGGAGAAGGTAAGAATCAATGTAATAGCGAAAACAAAATTTGTCTGAAAGTGTAGCAGTGGATTAAATGCTCTTCCAAGGTGAGAAAGTTGCTGGCTGCTGGGATTGCAAACATGGAGTTAAAACACATGGCTATTATACCCATCATCACTATCCTAAACCATCTCAGGTGTACTCTTAACACCACTTCTTGAGCTTTTCTGAACAAAAATGTGTGTATGTACTGTGTAGTACATGTGGAGTAAATGTTACACTTTTAGGAGTACATATGCTGTGAAGTTGTTTGAGGTACACTTAGTAAATTCAATTTCTGGTCCTCTTCACTGCTGTGAGTTTTGTTTCCCTATGGCTTGAGCAGTCTTAGCTATGTTCACATCTGACAGCACATGGGTATTTGCTATCAACTATGACTAATGTTGGCATATAAAGAACGTAGTTATTCATTGGGTAGCAGTTCATTCAGCAAGCAGAAATATAGGGCTTGTGCAATTCAAATTTCGATTCAGTCTTTGTCATGAGCTTAAGCCTGACCATTGACACATCAAAATTGTTCCCATCAGAAATATGATAAAGGTTAATGACATAGAGGCTTCCTGTCTGTGAAGGACAAAATATCTGCCTGGTTATTAAAAATAAGAGTGAGAGAAGGGAGATCTGATTACTTTTCCTGGATTTAACACTTTGGGGGAATTATGTTGTAGGACTGTGATGTGAGGAAGCCTCACCACAAGGACTGTATGGCCCATTTCCTTTTAAGTTTCTGTGTAGTCTTGTTCAGCTGTCTCCCCTCTTCTCTCACTGTTTTTGTTGTACTTGTTAGAGAAGCCTGTTCACTTCATTGCAATAAAGGATGTTTAAATTGGCCTGATTTCAGAGCTGGTGGACATCAAACTAAACTTTATTGTTACATGTTTCATAAGTGTAAGTCTGTGCCCGAAGCAGGAGTCATAGGAAGGTCACACACCTAAGCAAACGGAGCATTTGAGTATCAGCTAAGCCTGTATACCAAGATATACATAGAAAGGTAGAGGATGCTGTTGTATGCTCACATGTCATGGAGAAGATGCATCTTTCCACACTTGTTTTTTTAACTCAGATGGTCAGTGGGATCTCAGTAATTACCACCTGATGGATCTTGGCCACACTCACCACTCCATCCGTTGCATGGCTGTGGTCTATGATAGAGTCTGGTGTGGCTACAAGAACAAAATCCATGTTATCCAGCCGAAGACAATGCAGATTGAGGTAAGAGAGCACATACGTGTCTATGCGTGCACACACTGGTGTTGTATTTATTCCTAACAGCTCTTGACCAAGATTGTCAGTCTGGGTCATATTATGATCAAATCTGCCATGGGTTATTTGTTCCTTCCTCCCTTTGCAGAGCATAATTCTATCAGTAAGTCTAAACTGACAATTTTCTTTGCCTTTACTAGGGAGTCTGTGGGGCCATGTACTGTCCAAACATAGGTGTTTGTTTTACAGTGGTTCCTCACATGTAATCTGAGGCTTCTCCATCTTTACGCATTATGGCACAAAGGAACAGTACAGTTAGCAAACCCCCGGGATCCCATTAAGAGAAAACAATGTTTAGAGCCTTTTGGGTGGAAATCAGTACAGTGGTCTTGATACAAATCTGAGAGTGCTTGCAATAATTCTGATTGAGGAGAGAAGAAGTGCTGGATCTGAAGTTCACATTAGTGAGCCAAAGCAGTTTGATCTTTGGAATTTATCCTGGAGTTGTGTGTTTTCCTTTTCTCTCAAGTACATTGAAAGCTTTTGGTGTCTAAATGTTTTTGCTGCTGACCATCAGCTCTGCAAAGCTGCCAGACAGCTGCTCAAGCAAAGGATTTTTTTGTGTACAGTAATGAACTGCTGAGATCAGCTGACATTAACACAGCTTCTCCAAGATCTTTGGAACCCAAACAAGTGATCTCAGTTGAAAATGGAGTATATGTATATGTGGAGTATAGATAATGGCAAAACTTCTGTGAATTCACATTGGTATTTTAGAAATCCTTTGATGCCCATCCTCGTCGGGAGAGCCAGGTGCGACAGCTGGCATGGATTGGAGATGGCGTGTGGGTTTCCATCCGCCTGGACTCCACACTGAGGCTCTACCATGCTCACAGCCATCAGCATCTGCAGGATGTCGACATTGAGCCTTACGTCAGCAAGATGCTAGGTGAGGGTCTGTTGCTTACTGAGCTCAAGGCAGAATTTGCCCAAAGCAGACCTTGCCCAAAGTCATCACTGACTGCCCAACTCTCATTCTCATGCTTCCTAGGCACTGGAAAGCTGGGCTTCTCCTTTGTGCGGATCACAGCCTTACTCATTGCTGGCAACCGCCTTTGGGTGGGCACTGGGAACGGTGTTGTCATCTCCATTCCCCTGACTGAGAGTAAGTGACATTTATTCAAAGTATTCCTGTGTCTCTCCTAAAGAAAGGAAGCTTTTAGGTGTTATTTGTGCAGCATGGCAGGTGGTTCAGCCAGGCTGATGCTTTCCTGACATTTGACACCCTTTAATCGTAGCCATTTCAGGGAGGAGAGCCCAGGATATGAGCAGCCCTGGACCTTGATAGAGCAGAGTGATGTGAACTGATTCTGTAGCTACTGTGAAACAGGAGAAACAAAGCTTTGGGAATTGTACTGAGTCTCCAAAAGGAGGTCATGGGATGAGAAGTCACCAGGAAGATCTCCTTGGAAATTCCACTTTGGCCTAGTCATCTAAGTTTCTCTGTAGCAGTATTTTCCAAAAACTGAGCTTAGAAAAGCTCCATTTACTCAGATTGGAGCTCAAATTTATCAGTCAGGTAGAAATAGGTATCCTATGCCAAATCTAGCCTGCTGAGGGGACCCAGCAGTAAGAGTAAATAGGTGAATCTCTGGAGCTGAAAGTTTAGTTGAAGCTCTTACTACTCCTGTTCTGAACCTGCCTGTCAGCATTTTATTTTGAAGGTCTTATCCAGATCACTATGGGGAAGTAGGATTTTGAGACTGACTGCAGTTGCTTTCAACAGAAAGCAGCCAAATGTGTTTTCTCACCAATGCTCACTGGAAAGCTGAGAAACAAATACCTCTCGTGTAAAAAGAGGAAACCTCTAGTAATCTTCCTGGAAGTCAGGCTTGGGATGGTCTCCTCTGAGGGCAATGAAGTTGGATGTGCCTGGGGTTAACACCAGGAGGGCAGTGACACAGTCCTGTTCATGCATTTTGGTCATTGCAATTTTGGTCCTGTTTCTGAGTTCCTTTTGAAGCCCATTCTGCTGTCCTTGTTCTGAGTTAAACTTTTTCCCTGCTGTAAACCAATTGCTTTATCTTTGTGTGTTCCTGTAAAAAATGTGGTAAGCAAGAAAATCTCACTAAAAATGTAGCAGTGGATCCTGGTGACTTGGTCCCTCTCCCGTGGTACCTCAGATACCACGTCTGTCCCTGTATGGTAAGAGCAAAGTGAGCAAGAACAGTGTTAGTATGAACTAATAGGAGCTTCTGTGGTGGTTTCTCTAGGCTTTATACTATTTTTGTTGCCCTCAAATTATCTCCTAGTAACCGCCTTTTTCTTCTCTCCCATCCTACCCGTCACTTCCCATGCTCCTCTGTGTTCCCACTCCCTGCCTGTGCCTAGCTGTAGTCCTCCACCGCGGCCAACTCCTTGGGCTCCGGGGTAAGTCCATTGCCTCCCCTCCACAGCTGTCATTCCTTTTGCACCCGTCTCCCTGTGTAGTCATTCTCCCACCTTCCATTCTGCCATTCAACTTCTCTCCATCCATTTTTCCTTATCACTCTTTTGCTTTAAGTTGCATTAGAGAAAAGCAACCAGAGACAGTCATGTAAATACCCTAATTTCCCACAGCTGTAAACAATGTTTTCCATCTCATTGTTGATCCTTCTGGTTTTTTGTGTTAAGGATAATTATTCTTCAACAGTGGTTCCCTTACTGTGGTAGACCAGTTTGAGATGGGGACAGGAAAGGTTCATTCAGTCAGAAGCAGGAACCAGGAGTAGAGTGTTATTCCAAGGTCTCCCTTGGTCATCCTTTGTTTTCCAGTGATGCTTCGTTCATCAGTTTCAGGCCAATGGCAGGTGGTGCTATGGCGCCTGTCAGCTGTAAGTTATCAAACAAGACGTTGAACCGAAGGGGACTTGATAAGCATGAAGAATTGTTTAGGTTTGTGCCAGTTAAGGCAGGATCTCAGTTCAAATTCCTGCCTTTCCAGGGTCAGAAATTAAAGGGGCTTTTTTCTCACTCAGAGACATTCACGTGGCTGTCCAGATGCATTATCAATACGTGTCTCCTCCTTTTAAAGCATCTGATATTAGTTGCAGAAAAAAGCCAGATACTGTACACACATTGACTCTCATTGCTCCATCAAAGTATTTGTATTTGTCCCACTGTCCTGTCTTGAGCCTGATAGGGAGAAGTCTTTTGTGCAAGTCACGTAACTGAAATTCACCCAGAGTTAAAACACAGAACTACAGATAATTAATGAATTCACAGAACTACAGGTAATTAATGAATTCACTTTTTCACAGAAAAGTGAAAGCTGCCTAGTTTAATATTGTTCCTGTTGTACTGATGTGGGTGCATGCAGAAGGAAAGCATTTCCCACCCTGAGCTGAGAGCACTGGTCTCTGTTGTGTGGTTAGTGGAAATTGTCACATTCTCGGAGCCTGGTCATGAAGGATACAGGGCCCTGAGCCCTCCTTGGAAGCTGTGGATGGTGAGCATCTGAAAGATGTTCATTGCTGGAGTAGCTGACAATCTGGTGTCATGGTAAAATCAAGAAATGAGGAAGGACATCCACTGCTGTAATGGCTCTGCGTGGGCTGAGAGGCTTCACCAGACCCAGAGACTGCTGTCAGCAGTATGTGTGCTCATTACTGGGCATGAGCAAAGGACTTGACTTGAAAGTTGAGCAACGTCACTAATCCAGAGCAGTAGCTGTCCTCCAGCTGCCTTCTGGGGACAGTGGACACTTTGGGTACCCTGCCAGCTACAAAAGACCAAGGTTGATCCTAGGACACTGGCTTATTTCTGGAGGCTGGACAGGATCACTGCTGGTGACACCAGTCTAGCTTGTTCCCAGGCTAAAATAGAGCGACTGTGTAATCTGCTGTGGTCTCCTCCATCACATCATTCATAAAAGACCTTAAAAGAGACCTGCAACTTTAAAGGTTTACCTTCACAGCTCATGAGTTTTCTCTCTGATTGAGTCCCTTCTGTAAAGGGGACTCAAAGCTATCATTGATGGTGTTCTTGCTCTGTCTTCAGCCAACAAAACTTCACCAACCTCTGGAGAGGGCAGTCGCTCTGGTGGGGTCATCCACGTGTATGGTGATGACAACAGTGACAAATCTGCCAGCAGCTTCATTCCCTACTGCTCAATGGCTCAGGCACAACTCTGCTTCCATGGCCACCGTGATGCTGTCAAGTTTTTCGTCTCTGTGCCAGGTAAGCACAGCTCTCCCTCAGCAGGAGCTTGTCCCTCCATCCCTTTTGTAGCAGGGGCTGGAGCTGGTCTGCAGCAGATGAGGGTCCAGGCCATTGCTGACATTTCCTGTGGTTCACACATCTCTATTTATACTGGAGTGACTGCCAGATTTAACTAGCAGAAAGAATTGGTCTGCAAAATGTGTTTGTGTGCATGTGAACTGTGTGTGGGCTAGCAGAGGCACTGACAGCACCTCTGTCCTCTCCTAGGCAATGTCCTTGCGACCCTCAATGGGAGTGTGTTGGACAGCCCTTCGGAGAACCCCAGCACAGCAGCCACTGAGACGGAGGGTCAGAAGCTAAAGAACGTTCTGGTGCTGAGTGGAGGAGAAGGGTATATCGATTTCCGGATTGGTAAGTCCCCTTGGTGGGAGGCATCTGGAAAGGTAGTGGGTGCATAGCTGTGGTCATGGAGTGAGGCATTACTGTTGTGGAGAACCAAAGCAGAAAAGCCCCACATTGCTTCTCCTTCATCTGGCTGTGAGGGCAAATAAGGATGTTTCTTGCACAGCACAAGGCTGTCAACCTGTGCCCTGTGGCTGCAGTATCACACGGCTGAAGTGACACCTACAAAATCGGGAACAAAACAACACAGTTCTGAGATTATGTTAATATAGGAAGCAATATAAAAGAAGGTCTTTAACTGGAGGCCTCCAGGTGCAATATACACACATGATTCAGGACTTCTACACTTTTGTAAGTTAAACAAATTAGCATATTTAACAAATACTGTCCAATTAGAAGAGCAGTTGGTTAGGTAATTTTGCCCAGGTTCTGCCCCACTGGAGTCGGTCCAAGAGCTTTGCCCCACATTTATTAAGTCTATGATGCATGGTAAAAAGCAAGATGTCCTTGGTTGATTAAAGAGGCAAGACTAAAAAGTATTTCAGGAATATGTTAGAAAGTTAGCTTACTGTTCTAAAATGTAGGGGAAAAGGGTAGGAAAAGTACTGGGAGCTACAGCCATGCATTAGCAAACTACAAATATATTAAAACTATCATAAAATAGCATCAGTATGAATGGCTTTGGAAAGAACAAATGCATCTGTGCCACTGGGTCCAAACATTGCTGCCCTGCTGTGATTACCCATGCTGCTGAGGGTGCTCTGTATGTAAAAATCAGCTTCCCTGAAAGGAAGGGTAGTTTTTGTTGCTGCTGGAGCTAGTTTGTCCTGTCCATGCAGTCCAGCTTCAGAAAAGAACGGGGTTGCTCTAAATGTTCTCCAGGCACAGAGAAAGATCTCAGTTCACAGTGTCTGTTATCAGACTGCTGGGACTCTAAAAGGGGTATTGGCCTCTTTAGAGTATTGCAGAGCATTTTCTTTCCTGCTGTTTTTACTCTCTGTGTTCTCTCTTCAGGGGATGGGGAAGATGATGAGACAGAAGAGAATGCGGGAGATGCCACCCAGGTGAAGCCAGTACTTTCCAAGGCTGAACGGAGCCACATTATTGTGTGGCAGGTATCATACATCCCCGAGTGAGAATTCCTCTTTTCCCACAATGTAAGTGTCCCTCCTCCCACCTGAATGCCATGATGTACATACAGAACGCCTGCATTATAACTCCTGCTGGAAACTGACCCTGGACAACTGCAACGGTTCCTGCCTTGGACTGTGACCCCCTTGAACCTCTGAACTCGCAGCTTTCAACTCGGGCCCGTATGCTTTTGGCGTGGTTAGGTTCTTGTTCTGCTCTGGAGCTGGCATCTAAAAGGAGAGAAATGGCAGTACACCGTGGAGGGAGCTTGGAGCCAGGACTGTGGGAAACCTTTGCCCAGTGTCAGGAGGGGCAGCTGGAGGGGCGTGGCTCAGGTTCTTGGGCAGGTTGCCTCACTCCCACCTGCATGAGAAAGAAGTGTGTCCCCAGGTATTCCCTACCAAAGCAGTGATGGTGAATCACTTCTGCAGAACCCCAGCAGAAATCCTTCCAGTTCACCAGTAGACTCTTCATCTTATCCTTATTCACCCTTAAGCACAGAATAACATCCTCTGGACTTAGAGCAACCAAGGGTCCAAGGAAGCCTCCAAAGAGCATCATGGTTTCAGCAGCACTTCAGCTGAGGCTGGAGAAGGCAGCAGCACCTTTAATGTGGGGATCACATCCTCCATCTTTGCAGGGGGAAAGTCCCTTCCTCTGCTGCTGCTATTGCCTCAGCAGTCATGTACTGGGTGCCTGCCTGTGTGTGCCAAGAGAATTGTTTGGTGAGCTCAGATGGAAGATAGGTGTTTGATTGTCAAGGCCAAACAGCCATAGTAGCAAAAGGGTAACAGAGTGTTGCTTTTTAAAGAAAAGGCAAGGCTTTTAACTCTCCCTTCCAAAAAAGCCATACAGAAAAGAATTCCTGAGTTCATTCTGAAAGGTTCATGTGGTGGTTATCTCTGCATTGCATTTGGTGGCTTTTAAAAGACAGATGAGGACAGATGGTGTTGATCTGCTGTGAGTTCAGCATTAACACATTGAGATTGCCTCATCTCAAGGCTGTGTCTACTTTTTAGGACATGCTGGAAGGAGATCTCTTTTCACAGAGACTTGGAAAACAGAGACTTGGCGGTTGGTTAGGACAAGTGCAGTCAAGGCTATGTCTCACCTGATGTCACACACAAAAAGAATTGAGGCTAGATTCCTGACATCTTTTACTTAATATCACAAGCACTGACTATGCTAGTAAGAGGTTTGAAAAGCTGGAAATTTCTGACTCCTGGAAAAAAATGACAGCTCCCAAGAAAAGTGGTGATAGCCCTTTCTGTCTATGCAATGCTGAGTGATTGCAAATACGAATCCTGCTTACAAAAGAAGCAGCAAAAATTGGGGCCAGGGAGAGTGGTTTTGAACTCAAGATGCAAAATATGAAAGTTCCAGGTGTAGAGGCAATGGTGTGCTCTCCCTTTCTGACACTGTCCCACAAGGACAAATTCTGTGTCCCTTGAAACATTCTTTTCTGCGTGTGCAGGAGTAGGGCAAGTTGTATTTGTTAGTGATGAATTTGGAAGCTACTGGTAATCCTCTTGTTTTTTTTGCCTGACCTGTACAGCACTCCAGGGTTCACAGAGTTGTCCTTGTGACAGTATGGGGCCATGACAACTGGGCAAGCCTCCATCTCCTGGAAAGCTCCCTGCTGTGTCCTGTGCTTGCTGCCATAGACCAGGCTTGCAGATCCCAGTGTCCTGCAGGGATGCCATATTCCCTGGGGATGCGCTAACATGTGGCATCTCTCTTGACACAGCAGCACCTAAACAATTTTTGTATCCACAGTTCAGGCAAGGTTGTGGCATACATTTTCCCTGCAAGAAGGCAAGAGACATCGCTGGTGAACAGAGGTCTCAGCCAGCCACAGTGGTGCCCATGCTGCGTGTGAGCAGCGCTGGTGACATGCACCCATCACACCACTCCTCCCCAAGGCAGGAATCCAGACGGAGGGCATCTTCCAGCCATATGCATACTGGACTCTGTGACGGGCATGAGGCTAAGGGACACATGGAGCCACCACCTGCATGGTGGGGGACCTTTCACCAGAGACATTTTGCTGGGGCACTGCTGACCATGCCAGGCTTCTCATTCACTTTTGCCATATGCTTTCTGCTAGGAAGACCTCTTTGGATCCCAACACAGAGTGCTTTGAAGTAAACAATATAACATTTAGAGCACAGATTCCACTGTTATGTAATAGTTCATCAGTTAGGGCCAGGCAAATTTCAGAATCTGGGCTAGTTGAAGGGAAAAAGAAGCCCTGGTAGGGTTCAGTTCCTTAACTCTGTCAATTCTTTTATAGGAAAGTCAGAATTGCAACACTTGTACCACCAACTGTTCTATATCTGGTATGAGCAATTGAAGGGACAGCACTTGATCTCCTGTCACCCACTGGGCCCTAACAACACATGGGAATCTCCCATCAGATTCCTTTCCAAGAGAAGCACATGGCCCAGGGGCAGCTGCAGGGGGGAGACCCAGCCTCTGCTGATAGCTCCTGTGTCCTTGGGTTGCTGCTGGGCATCAAGGTGAGAACTAACTGGCTTCAGTACGCTTCTCTGTCATATCTCCACTGTGATGTATGTAAAGTATCTTGTATGTTACAAAATGATTTTTAAAAGTGTCTTAAGGCCTGTAAACTCCGCTGTTTGGTCTGAAGATGGCATTCTGTAAAGAGCCTGCTGTATGAATATGTTCCCGTGCTTTGTCCCCTATGCTGTCAACAACAAACCGTATCTGTTCTGTATGTAATAAACATGTTAACATCACCTTCAGCAGCATGTTGTCTTCCTGTGAAGGCACTGGGATTGCTGCTCAGTCTTGGGAATGCAGCTCAAGTGTTCCCTGTTGAGCATTTCAGTGGCAGGAAATGAAATGTGGATGGCTCACGGGGTCGGAGCAGAAGGGGCTGGTCTAGCAAACAACAGTGCGATCTGTAGCTTGTATCAGCAGTAAAAATAAAAGGTGGAAATATAAGGTGGCACAACTTCAGAAATAGAAGCTGGAGCAGAGAAGCTGCTGAGTTGCTGGAAGTTTAGTCAGGGTGGCCCTTTCAGGTGAACTGCCAGGGATAACACATCAGGTCAGTTTTCAACACTGTACAGGGTGGCACTTCACAGTCCCATAGCATCGGTGATATCAGCATAATTTGACTGCAGGGAGCCTCTCAGTCCCAGCAGCATTTGGACACCTTCACAGTTATTTTGTAGAATTGCATTGATTCAGGGTCTAGACATGGCAATGAACCATGTCCTTAAGACTGGAGAGGAGCATCTTCTGCCCCAAGCAGGGAGCCCTAAGGTGAGTCACCTCTGTGACCAACACACGCACTGTGGTGTGGCACAGGCCAGGGTGCAGTACAACTGGCAGTGCCTGTGCAGTTAATGCAAGCACCTCAACAATGAGATTTGGAAACATGTGCTGTGACCCATCCTAAATCCCTGGGGCTGCACCCTTCGAAACAGCCAGGAGCAGTTTGAGCAGGGCCCTGGGTGTAATACAGCCATGTCTGGTGGCTAAGGAAGCAGGTTACTGCCAACACCCTTCAAACAATCTGCCCCGGTTGGTAAACAATCTGTGAGAAAATGTACAAGTTTGAGAGGCTCATCAGAACTCACAGCATGTTCTGGGCATGGAAATCCAACACATGGCAAACAGGCTGTGCAGCTTCCCAGAAGGGACCTTCACTATCAGGGTAAGGCTCCCAAGCTGCCTAGGGTTCTGTGAGAAGACACCCATTTCTCCATTTCATGACCCTGAGCTCACCAGCAGGTCCTGACTGTTGTGGTAAGTGCCACCTAGACCTCCACCTGTACAGTAGCCCTTTCCTCCTATGGCCCAGGAGCATCACTGAAGCACAACCTGAGGTCTTCAACATGTAACTGTGTCGATCTCCAGCCACTCCTGGATCGATTCCTTGGACCCAGGGGGCTGGATTTTGACTACATCATCTTTCAGAGATCCTGCCTCACCCAAGCTGCTGGGTGAGTCTGTGCCTGATCAGCTCCATCTGCTTTTGCTGCTGGCTTGGCTCGCTGGTATACTTTGATCATGGGTCATTTCTTGCCTTTCTGGGGCTGCTGTGACCAGCACTTGGGTCTGCCCACTGTGGTCATTGTGTGTGTCCCCTCAGGGTGACACTTCCTCTGCTGGTTCTACATTTAGATCACAGCTGTGCAGAACAGAGGACTAGACTGTTCTACTCATCCCATCCGACTCACAACTACACTTCCCTTCAATCTCCCTTGTTCTTGGTTTGTGTTCAGTAGTACCTCAATCATGGTGTTGCCAGGAAGGCAACATCTCACCTCAGTGCCCAGCAGCAGAGACTATAGGAATCAGACAAACTACCTTCCAGCCACAGCAACTGCCATGGGAAGGCTCACAGCCTCAAATTGTGCCTTTAACACTACTCCTGATGCTCCCTCTCCTTCTGAAGCCACAGAACTAGATCTGGCACATGCTCTGCAGTGCTCCTGCCACAAGGCAGGCTCAGTTCTGCTCCTTGTCACAGGACCAGCTTTTAACTCGAGAAAAGACTTCCTTCATACCTCATAGCATCTTAACCCTTCAGGAGCCTCTTGTGAGGGAACCCTATGGAAATACAGGTAGCCAATGTCAATCTCTGCACTCCTGCCTGAAGACAGTCATTTCCTGCTGGCTGGGGCCACATGTTCCCAGCTTCATCTAGGCCACACACACTGGGTGGAGCAGATTCCAGTCTGTGCTCTCCTTCACTAAATCCCTTCAGGCTATTTGTGATTTCAGGATGCTGCAGTAAATGGAACACCACGTCCTGACTACCTGCAGACACAGGAACTGAACAGTTACTTCCGCAGGGAATTGATATATAGAGCTGAACAGCTCTTGTGCTCCCTTCACCCACACCTAGACCAGACCCTCCAACAGCCTTTGACACAGCAGCAGCATCCGCAGCCACTGCAAGAGAAGGTGAAATACCATGAACTGTGCTCAGGAGCTGCATGTTTTAATGTTCACAACATGCTGCCCTGGAACAGGATAATTTCCAATTGGCTTCAAACGGTAAGAGCCAATCCCACCTCCTTTGCATCACCAGAACTAAAATAATTTCCCCTATCTCCTGACAGCCATCTTTGGGAGTAAGAGATGGCTAGCTTTGGATTATGTTAGTATTGAAGTCGTGTTCCTCACTTCTTGTTCACTGCCTTCATATGCTAGTAACCCAGATCATTCTGCAGTGTTCAGAGAACCAGATGCTGTGCCTGAGCTAATGGCTCTCCATTTCGCTGTCAGGATGTCTCAGCATTGAAAAAAAATAATGGGTTTTCTTAGAACTGTGCTGCAGAATTAAGAAAACATTTATTTCCATTTGAAGATACATTTTTTCACAGCTCTGTGAAATACTGTGATATTTACAGCCATTTTTCTGTGATTCGTGCAGGACCCAAGTTATATAAAAAATGTTATGCTCCAAAGAACTGCAGCTGGCTGACTGAAGCTGTGTATTTAGAGACTATCCAGGGAACCAAGAAGACCCCTCTGCTTACTGAAACCAAAGTTATGGAAGAAGAGTCTGAATACATCTGCATCTTCCCTTTCAGATGATGGCACTGTACAGGGCTGAGGAGAAAGCTGGAAACATCCCAGGACAATGGGCACAGAGGGGCTCTGTAAGACCCTTTGTGCACTGAGCTTCTAACAGGCAGTGAGAGCACGTGGGATGCTTAAGACAGCGAAGAAGTCTCTATACCGGTGTCCCAGTAGCTTTTCTCTTAGCCCACTCTTGGGGAGAGGCCAGGACCTTCTCTAGGTCAATAATTGGCTCTTCCATGATTGGTTTTCCTTCCTTCTGCCACTGTGCAAGGATCATGGCTCGGAGCAGTGGTGGGTATGGCAGGAACCGAACAGTCGCCTCAGGCACTGGGGTGAATTTCTTAAAGGCTTCCTCCTCATGTTTGGGCACTATACGCCAGTCATGGTACATGGCTTTGTCAATCTCCCTCACTTCGTCTTCAGTTTTGCCTGGGAAAAGACGATGAACACCAGTAGGTAACACCATCACATGAAACTGCCTCCAGACACAGCAAGTGTTGACTCTTTGGCACCAAAAATGCTACAAAACGCGAGTAAACAGTTTTCAAAGGGCTGGACAAATGATTCCCTGCTATACTATAGGATCTCACTTCTGTCCTTGAGAATCGAAACAGAAATAGAAACATGTTCTGGCTGAGTGGGTGACTCCCCCTCTTAATTTAAAGTTTTGCTTTGTCTCTCTCAAGTTCCATTTCCATGGTTAAGGAACAAGAGTAATTTTCCCTACAGTGATGAAAGCTTTCTGGAAAATTAAGTGTTAGAAGTGGTCAACAACTTAAAAACCTTTGAATGAGTCCTATTTCAGTAATTCCAGTAAGGTAAAATTTATACTTAATATAAAGCAATTCTAAAAAGGAAAATTCACTCAGACAACTCCAATCATTAATTTAAAATTCCAGTAACACAACTTACTTGCCATTGTACTTTTTCCTTTTTAGCAACAATTTAAATTGGAATACCCTCATGCTCATACTGTGTCTTGCTTTGAAAGTCTCAGTCTGTCAGCTCATCTAATATGCTTTTAGTGCTGCTGTTCCCCAAGGTCACACTGCACTGGCTCTCCCACAGCATTCCTGAGAAAGACATTCTGAAGGGGCTAGATTCCTAGCCTTTGAAACGCAAGGAACCTCTTTTCCCATTATAAGATGCGAGAAAAACAATTTCCCAGTCAGGGAGCCCGCGGTTTCTTTGCCACCCTCACGCACCCGATGCTCTCTAGGCTCTGCCCCATGTGTGGCAAAACGAGCCGGTTTTACCTTTGAAGGTCAGGTAGCCCCAGGCTCTTCCATGGTCCATGTTCTGCAAAGGAAAGAAAAGAGGAGCCTGTTGAGGGTGGGTCGCGGCGGGGTGGAGGGCGGGAGCTCGGCAGGGCGCGGCGGGCGGGACGGGGCAGGTACCTCGGCCGTGTAGTCCGCCTTCACCTTGGTGATGACCCAGTAGCAGGGCTCGCGGTGCGCCCACAGCCAGGACTTGCGGGTGACGGTGCGGCCCACGCCGAAGCGCGGCAGGCGGCAGAGCAGCGCCAACAGGCGGTTCTCGTTCCGCACGTCCTCCCAGGCCCGCACGGGCAGCCGTTTCTGCGTCAGCGGCCGCCGCATGGTCTCGTAGTCCACGGCGAAGCGCTGAGAGTCCCGCGGCCGATCCTTCAGCGCCCGGTACTCGCGGATCTTCTTGGCCATGGCGGCGATGGGCCGGTGCAGCTTCTTGCGGCCCATGGCGGCGGCCGAGGGCGCGGAACGGGCAGAACCGAGCGCCGTACCTGGGTCCTCCGCTCCCGCCTCTCCCGGAAGCCGCGCCGGGCCCCGCGGAAGTCGCCCCACCCGCCGCCAGGGACAGCCGCAGTGTTCCGCGGGGCCCGGCCGCCCGCAGTGGGTGCTGTCCGGCTGCTGCCCGCAGAGCTCGTGGCGTGCCGCGACCCCTCGCTGTGGTGCGAACCGCCGGTGGCAGCAGGCCCGGCGCGGCCTGACGGTATTATGTGCTAGGTGGCTTTCGGGGGAGCCGGGCTTGGTTGTTGAGATACATCTGAACAGTGTCTGGTTTAGAAAAATCTGAGCAGATTCAGCTATGTCAGTGAACGTTCAAAATCTGAGTAAACCAGGTTTCAGGAAGATTAAAGCAACAGGTCTGGCCCAGGTCTTCAGTCAGAGGCTGGGCCACGAGCAGCAGCCGGGTCATGGAACTCCATAGCAGAATGAGACAAATCCCTCTGAGCTGCTCCAGCCATGGAATGCCAGCACAGTGAGGCTACACTTTTAATTACTAACTGAAGTAATTAATGAGACTTAGACTTTAAGTAAAAACTGCATAGATCAGTCCTTGGATTTTTGCTAAAGGCTGGTAAATTAAATCTGACAGAAGGCTTTTATTTTTTCATTGAAATCCGTATCTTAAAGGAAGCACAGCAATTCCAGCGCTGCTGTTAAGGCATTCAGGATACTGAGTGGATTTTTCCAGCAGCCAAGATCAATGTATGAGGAGAAAGTGGTGTGTTCGTGTGTGCTGCACACTAAAAAAGTAAACCATGCATTAAAAAGGCTGACAGTGCTCTTAAGACTAATATGGTGCATCTCTTGAGAAAAGACCGGGTCATTGGAGTAAGCAGGAGGTACCTGATTAAGTTGAGAAACACTGGTTTAGAATAAAATACTTGATCTCAATCCACACAAATTTGGGGGAAATAGCAGAGCATTTAAGCCACTTATTACAGGGTGCAGAGTTGGGAGCTTGTACCCAGGGGGTGTGCAGCACAAGGATCAAGCTCGTTTCCCTTTAAGGCCCCTTCCCGTCAGTTTCTGTGAGTCCACAGAGCAGAAGAGGTGACAAGAGTGCTTGAAAAAATTTGGAGTTGGCTTTGTTGGATGGACAGAAATGAAAGACACCACCACACACTGCAAGTCATCAGGCAAACGATGCAGCTCCGCAACAGCCGACCACACACGGCGTTTCCCCCTGCGCGGGAGAAGGAGCGAAAATCTTGTTCCAAACTCGCCACTTCCTGGAGTGGGTCCGCGGGGCTAAGGGGGATACCTATGCAGTCCGAGGGCAGCGAGCAGCGGCAGCAACGGAGCCCTTCGGTTTCTGCTTCTTAAGAGGAATTCTATCAAGGGAACCGCTGTTAATTCGGAGGTGCTGCAGTGCCCTTAGGTGTCCCGGCCACAAACACGGGCCCCGCCAGGGGCGGGGGCGGTAGCCGCCACCACCAGAGCGGCCCAGCAGAGTAACGCCGCCACCTGCGCTTCCAAGGATGCGCTCGGCACACGGCGCTCCTTCCGACACTTCCGACGATGCGCTCCACATCGAGCTCCCACGCAAAGGCCGCTTCACACGGCGGGGAAGCAGCCCCGGGAGCACCCGACAGAACGTCCGGCTGGGCTGCGCTAGGCTGGGCTGCGCTCCTGCCTTCGCCCCGCCCCCGCCCCTCCCGCCAATGAGAGCCGCCGCCGTCCCGGCGTCGCGGGGGGGGGAGGGGGCGGCTGCCGCTGACAGCCCTCCCGCACACGTGACGGACCGCCTGCCCACGTGATGCTCCCGCCCAATGGGCACGGCCACCGCCCCTTCCCCCCTGTTCGCGCTCCCGGCAGCCCCCGCGCGGCGCGGCCGGTCTGTGTCGGTAAGATGGCGGCCGTGAGTCTGAGGCTCGGAGATCTGGTGTGGTGAGTGGCGGCGCAGGCTGGGCGGCGGTCGCGGAGCATGGCGGGCCGGGCGCCTTTAGCGGAACCAGGCTGCGGCTGCGGAGACGCAGGCGGGGCTGTAGCCGGCCCTGGAGGCGACGCAGCGGGAGCCGAATCGGGCTGGGCCGCGCTGGGCGCTGTCAGCCCGTGGTGACTTCGGAGAGCGGCTGTGGGCAGGGTGGGGCTTAGCAGGGCAGGGCAGCGCAGCGGTGGGGCTGCTGCCGGGTTGCGGGTATCGCCGCCGCCGTCCCTTGGGCGGTGTGGGAGGAGCGGCGTGAGGCAGCCCGGAGCCAGGGCACCGGGCCGGCGGGAGGCGGGCTGGGCTGTGAGCCGGGCCGGCACTGGGGAGGCTGGCGGGGGCGGTGCATGACGGAAGCTGTGTCAGATGGAAGGATGAGGGAAGCGGGACGGAAGGACGAGCGCTGCGGGGTTCCCTTGTAAGCACGGGCTCACTTCCCGAGGGATGCGAGAAGGGTTAGAGACAGAAAGTGTTTAGGGAGAGCTACGCACCGTTTCTTGACAGTGCTTTAATGAAGCAACACAACAGTCCAGCGTTTCATTGCAGGTTGGGGTATCCCTGTGGAAACCCCCAGAAGCCGTTTCCCCTTGCCACTGCGATCTTACCCTCAGATAGTCAGAGCTGTGATTTTGTGTTTCCTGGTGGAGAGAAGTGAGAGCATTTCACCGTGCCCTGTAAACACCGATTAAGTGCATAGGTTTTGCTGTGCTGGATGGGCTAGGCTGTCCTGCCAGAGCTCAGAGAAGTAGCTAATTTCCAACACGGGAATAAATGCATGCATTTATACTGATAACCCAGATAAAAAGAAGCCTGTGCTTCAAGCTGTGACAGCTGCAGTTCTCATCTGAAAAATTTACAGTGCTGGGAAGTTGTCTAATTTATATAGCAAAGTAAGTAAAGATTAGTTACTTTTAGCATATTTATTTCAGATGAGAATTTGGGGAGTGTTCTGCTCTCAGTGCTGGAATGCAGATTATCCTGCTTTACTTTTGTACGTGACAGCCAGAGCTGTCACAGGGAACTTCAACAATCAGACAGCAACAGTAGAAAGGGTTTGCTGATTTTTTTTTCTCAGTACAGGAATGGGGAGCATTGAATATGAGACATGGTCATGGTCACAGCTCTTGGCGGTGTTGCTGCCTGCCCCTGGCTTCTGAGTCCTCTGTGCAGCATTGCCATCTCAGCGGGCTGCAGTGCCACTTGGTGAGAAGTTTTGTGTCAGGAGCTGTTGGGCCCCACAGGTTCTTTGCCCGTCTCTTGCAAGACAGTTACTAGTGGGGTTTTGTGAGTACTGCAGCACAAGTCAGTGACGAGGGTGAAATAAGGATAAAGCTCACCAGGAAAGCTGGTGAGCTGAGGGCTAAGACTAATGTCTCTTCCTCCTCTGTGATTATTTCTAGTGTTGCCTAGTTTTCATAATAGAAACATTTGAAAGTGTAGAAAGTAAGCTTTTTTGCCTTTCTTTTATGGCTCTTCGTATGTTCAGTTAGTGTGGTGGTGAGCACCTGAAGAAAGCGATAATGGAACACCTGTTGAGGGGATCCTGCTATTAATGCCTTCCTGCATGAATCAGAACCTCAGCTTTCTGTGCTGGGAGTTGGTGGCTGCTCTGCTCACCAACTGCTCTAGATAGGTAGATAGGAGTTTTCAACGTGAACTTTGGTCTGATTGCCTGCATCAGTGCTTTTTTCAGTTCCATGTGAAGTTCCATCAGTGCCAGTCTCCAGACTTATGGTGCTGCAGTGCCTGTTACTCTTGTATCTTTCAGACAGTGTTGCTGCTGCTCTTCTCTCCAGTTCTGGCAGTACAGCAAGGTCAAACAGACTGTCTGGAGACCTGAGTTAGGTGCAGATGTCAGCTGTGTGTCCTGCCTTGAACAGAAGGTTTTGACTGCAAATTGTAACTCTCTTATTATGAAAAGTGTGACATAATATGAAAAAAACAGACATTGGGATAGTTAGTTTTTTCTCTAGTTCTAGTGCCTAATATTTCTTTTTTTTTTTTTCTCTAGGGGGAAGCTGGGCCGTTACCCTCCATGGCCAGGGAAGGTGAGGTTTGTTTGTATTTATCGTTGCTTTCTTAGTTTTTAATGGTTTGTGTTTTTTTTAGTTTGGGTGTGTTTTTTTTGTGTTTTCCTTCTGTGTAGGGAAAGCTTTGCTTGAAAGCATTTCAGTTGTAGATTAATACTGGTTTTCTTGTTTGTTTATTTTTTTACACATCTACCCCACAAATCTAAAGTGTGAATTAGTTTAGGGCTTTATTTGTTAGATTGTCTCAGTCTGTTGGTAAGAGTTGGTTGTTCACGTGGAATGAAAAGCCAACAGAGAGCCAGTTCTGGAACTGATTGTGTTTCCCAAATTTAGTTGTTAATCCCTGTCACTTTCTGCAAGACATTTTTATTTTCTTCCATAGTAAGTTGGCTAGCAGTACTGTGTTAAATAATGGAAATAAGGAGTCTAGTTCCTCAAGATACTGTTTTAGAGCTGTCATTTTTGAGAATTATCTGGGGTAGTTTGATCCTACTTCTGGTTTGGTTGGGGTTTTTTCAGATGAAAGATTTTTAAAAATGAATTTTATATGCCATTTCTATTCTTTCTACTTCTCAGAAAGACCTTTATTTTATCTTTATATGTTGTATGAGGGCTAAGCATGCTGAGGTGACAGTGTGAGTCAGGTAAAAGAATAGTCAACGTGGCTGACAACTATAAACGTGTGGTTATTGGGTCAAGTTAACACCAGGCTCCTCTACAGTTGTCACTTTGTAACTGAATGATAGCTTTTCTCCTTACTAACATTTTAAAGTTGATAAGCAATTTATCCTGTGAGTAAAGACAAAGTTTAAATTCTTAAGGTTACCTAAGTGGAACAAATTTTTATTAATGCAAGTTATTCTCCTAATCAGATTTTAAAAAAATCTATAATAGCTGAACACTGGGTGGTAAAATCACAAAATTTGTCACTATGTGCTTTATGATTTCTAATCGCCTTTAGATTGTTAACCCACCTAAAGATCTGAAGAAACCTCGAGGAAAAAAGTGCTTCTTCGTGAAGTTTTTTGGAACAGAAGATCAGTATGTACCTCCTTGTTTTCATCTGGGGAAAATATTGTACCACATAATGTGGATCTTTTGTGGAAGAAATATTTACTAATACTACAGTGCAATGTAGCATTGTAAAGGATTCCCTTTGAACCACACAATAAAAGAAATTCAACTATTATTGCTTGCTATAGCTGCTCACTGAGGTGTATGAAGAGTATAAAAACTTAGCTTTAGGATTTGAGTTGCTGTGATAATAGCTCACCACTTTAGGTGTGACATGACTGTGTCAGACTTTAGCATGTAGTGAGGAAGGTACATCTCGGAGTAGTTTTTTTTTTTTGTTTTTTTTTTTTTTTTTTTTTTTTTTGCTGCCAGAGGAATAAAAGTAACTATATAATAGTAATTTGTGGAAGAATATACTGTCCTACATGCTGATTGAAAACATTCTTGCTGTGCTTTTGGAAGACTTCACAGTATAAGAGAGCCAAAACTGTTTTAGACTTCCTTTTTGCAGAGCAGAATTTAATGATTTCAAATGTGAACAAAATCATAGTTGTCTTAACAGATTTAAATGATTACAAACTAGGTAAAAAAACCCAACCAAAAAAGCCCCTGAGAACCTGGATATTTCATGAAACTGACAATGATTTTGATAATTTTTCAGTTTTCCTCTTTATTTTCTCCTATTAAGTCATTTAATAAAGAAGAAAATTGCAAATATCTGTTTAGACAGATATCTGAAAGAATATCTGAAAGACTGAAAAACCCTTTACTTTTAGGAAGAAAGGTGACAAGAACTGAGGCCATTTGATGAATGTCTCTTAAGGAAATTATTTTTCACTGCTAAATTATCTTTGTTTAATGCTAAAAAATATTTTTCCATTAAGAAATGAGGTGTAAACTTGATGGAGTAGTAGTGAATGCCACATAGTAATGGGAATGTTTGGATCTCTAGTAATTTGAGGCAGGTGAAGGTTGATTTGAGGCTGGAGAACGTTTTTTGGTGGTGTTACTAAATATGATTATTTGAGCTAATAAATTCTGAGTTGAATTGGATTACTTCTGTCCTGGTTATTTGTTCTCAGTTCTTGTATTTCACATTATTGAATCAAATACAGATTTTTTTTTTTTGTATTAAGAAAAGTAGTCAAGTATCTTGGCTACTGTAGCTGAGATTAATAACATGATTGCAAATGAAGAGCTCAGAGCTGCAAAACAATTGGGATTTATTACAAGATTCTAGAGTTCTGGTCGGGCCAAATTTGGTCATCTGGCACAGTGAGGTAGTATGGTTGTTGTAGTGTAGCCCCTTCCCCACACTTCCAGCTTGTGAAATTTAATAATGTCATGCTAGATAATCATGACTTAGAAATTTGCTTGCTTTGATTGGCACCCTCTATTTGAAAATTGAATTGAAATAAATACTAACACCTTTCTTTCAAATGATGTTGATAGAGAGAAGAGAGAGAAGCTTGTGTGCCTCTTCTGTCCTGACTTGGAATGTCAAAAGGATGTGCTGGTTAGAACTGTGCTGTTCAGTGTGTTGCCTGAGAAAGTTCTCATGTTTGAGCATAATCAGCCAAATCAGGAAAAATAGAAATTATTTCACTTCAAATGTGAAGATAAAGAGGAAATCACTTTACTTCTTTTGTAGAAGTAAACTAGTCGGTTTTGCAAATACTTTTTTCAGGTGTGTGTATAAACAGGACTTGGAAGGTAACTGAGAGAATGTTACCACCTTATGAACAGCCTGAGGAACAGCAGAGTGCAGAGCTGTCCCTGTTCAAGGGGAGATGAGGAGCGCACTTACCCATGCCCATGGTCTAGTGCATATAGCTTCTTTTCCAGCACCTCGCTTCTTCTGCCATGTTCACACTGTATGATGGCATTTCTGTACCATGGATCCATTGCTGCAGCTCTTGTATTACTGCCTTATCCTTTGAGGTTGAACGTGAGAGGATCTGGTCATTGGCTGTTCACCTCTTGTCCAGTGTGTATAAGGCAAAGGCGATGCTCATTTCTGGGTACAGTCCCTCTCATGAACTTCTGAGAGTTGTTGCCAGCCAGTTTGTTGAGAGGTAGGCAGTGTCAGACCCTATTTTAGTCTTACTTCCTTTTGAGGAATTCCTAGGTGCCTTCTGTGGCCAAAAATGTGCCCGTTCCAGGCTGGGTACAAATTGTTCCCCACTGACTCATGTGGCTTTGGTTTGTCATATTAAAGGTTAAGGAGAAAGATGTTTAGAATTAAAAATTGATGTGTATGAGCAGAGCAGAAGGGTAAATAAAAACATACTGATGAATTTGGCAGTGGTTTTGGTGTAGTGTATAAGTTTTGGTTATTTGTGAAATTCTGGCTAGCTTAGGATACAGCACAGGGGAAATGCATTTTCCTTTTTCTGCAAATTGATTATTACTGTGTTCTGGGCCTTTGCAATGCTGCAGTGACTAAGGAAATAGATTAACTGGAAAGCTGTGAGTACTTTTGGTCCAACATACAGAGGTGAGAGCATGAGTGCATTCAGACTGTTCTCTAAGTACTGGCTTTTGATAAATTTTCTCCAGAGCTCTGTACTCCACGTGTTGTGTTGGTGATGTTAGTTTCTCCTGTTACTTCCGAGGGAATGGTTTTTCTGGAAGATAAGGATTCTCTACCTATGGAAGCAGATTTTGCTTATGTTTAAACTGTGAAATACATATATGCTTTACCACAGTGAAAGCCACCTGGTATTCATAGTAGTATGTAATATCCATGTCCTATTCTAAGTGATTGTGTGCAATTAAGGCATTCATGTAATGTCTCTTTATTACCTTGTTCTCCAAATTGAAAAGGAGGTTTTTCTATTCTGCCTAGGAGTTGTTTTTCTGAGTGTCTCTTCTTGGAGTGAGTCACATTAAAAGGATTCTCTAGCTAAAATCAAGAACAGTTGATGTTTCCTGCCCATAGACCTGACAGCATGTAACAGCATCCATTACAGGAATCTAAACAACAATTTTAATTTAGTTTAGAAGTGGAACTTAGACCTCTTATCTGTGTTTCTAACTGTGCTTCTCAGATAGTATTTAAAATCCCTTTTATTTTTATTTCCATACTACAGTTTCGTTGTAGGAAATCTTTGTAGATATTTCAATAGTCAAGTAAGAACTTTTATTTTGCTATGTAGTACATTTATTGCTTTTAGTAGTTAAAACGAATAGACTGGCTGGCCCGCGAGTCTTTCTTGGTGTGTGTCATACAGTTAAAAATAGTTTTACACTTTTTGGCCTGCTTAGGAATTCATTATGATATTTGTTAAAACTAAAAATATAATTGCTTTGAAGGTATCTTTCTACTGTGATTCTATAGAAATACTAGTGACAGTCCTGCAGCCATCAGAGATGTGTGTACAAACACAGCCATTCACCTTTCTTCCCCCTTTGGTATTCCCTGATAGCCAAATGACTTGCAAGTCATGTATATCACAGTCTTAACAGGAAGCTGTGACAGCCCATTCTTCCTTACAATCTTTTGTAGCATCTGTGTGAAACTAAATATGGGGGGGGTCAAGGGGCGCACTTTCTGATTTTATATATTAAGGAAAAAAATGGAGGAAGCTTGCAACCAAAGATAAATGTAATAATTAGCAGCCTGTTTCCATCAGGCACAGTAATTTTAACACTGCGCTCATTACCTTTCCATCCTTCATGTCCTGTTGGGATGAAAGCACCTACCCTTTTCTTTTGCCACTGTTTTCCCTGGTATGAAAAATAGGAGAGAGTAAATTCAGGATGTAGTCTTTCTGAAATGTTCTTTCAGGTCCTGACATCAGAAAACACTTGTTTTAAATTTGCCAACTGTTGGAAATACATCTTAGAAGTCTGAGGGTCTGGAGGGATAGGCTGAGCTGATGGGATAGGTGGAGGGATAGGTGAGCTTGTGTTCCTGGTAGTTCTCAGTGAGGCAGATTAACCCATGCAGAGCTCTATGTTGCTGTAACAGAGCCAGCTGGAATGTTGTTCAAAATGCCTGCAGGCACAGTGCCTTAGCTGAAAATCACTGCAGACAAAACTCTTCCATCTCTTACTGAGGAGGTATTTTATTGCACAAATTTGCAAAACCTAATACTTAATTTCCTTCAGTATTGCCCTGCTTCTGGGTTTCTTCTAAATATCCCTTCCTTTATTATAGTATGATATATTCATTTTTGTATTTTTTTTCTAGGAGTTTATGTACTATGTTGCAGAGTTTAGTTGAGTTACTTAATTGGTGAGGGTTGGGATGTTCCCTTTTAACAAAGGAAATCTGTCTTGATTTGTCGTATGCTCACACACACTGGCCTTGTAAATAACTAAGCAATTTTCTTTTGACTTTTAGATCTGGTTGTGTTAGCATTTAGTATGGGCATATAAAGTGCTACAGTCTAAAGTGATAATTTTTTTCCCAGACTGTGGTAAACAGAAATTTGGAGATACAGTGCTACTGTTTTCCATCCCTAGCTATATGGTTTGCAAAAAGCGAGGATTGGTGGATATTCTTCCATCTCATTTCTGCAGCTTATCTTTAGGAGTTGATATCTGTAGACAGGAAGAGAGAATGGCTGGAATGATGAAGGTTTGAAGATCTCCTTGCTTGTGCCATGGATTTGAATCTGGTGTCTCTGCATCTCTCTGTGCCACTCTTTCCCTGTGGCTGCAGGTCACTTTCATGCTTGTCTCTGCTTATTCTAAGTTTTGCTTATTGTTCGTGTTTATAATGCGGATTTGACATGAGCAGTGGTTTTCTGAGAGCATTTTGGAGACTATGAAGAACAGTGTGGAGAAATGAAAAGAGAAAGCCATTGTTAATGGGTATTTTTATTACATCTTTTCACCTTCCATGCAGCCCATTCTTTACAGTTGCCTGGTGACTGTGCAGCAGTATGAATGCAATGTCATCTTAAATATGACATCTTCAATGTCATTGCTGATGTTTTTCTCATGCATTGATTCATTGCTGAATCAGGAGAGAAACAGTACTTCATTTTATATGTTGTATCCTTGAGGCCGTTCTAAATACTGGCTTCATTGGCCTTGAGGGTATTGAGATCTTGTGCATAAACGTGAATAATTTTGTTTGATGAAAAGTTACTTTGTTTTCAAGTGCTTGAAACACTGCATGCATTTGGCTTGTGGACATTGGTGTCAAAAGATACTCATCTCTTACAGAAGGTTGTCCAGGTAGGTGATGCATAAACAAACTGGAAAGGAAAAGACCAATTTATTTTTTTTCTTGTTTTCTTAAAGTTTATTTTTAACTGAGGCAGCATTTAAGATTGTTTTTCACTTACTAGTTTGGCTCTGAGATCTCTAGTTCTTTGTCCTGGTGGATCACAAGTGCCCAAGATGCACCTTTGAAGCCAGGAACCAGAAAGCTTTGTACTTCGGGCTTTCTTCATACCAAAGGAAAAGGAATGAGAAAGGAAGCTGATGAACATGTGCAGTGACGAGTGATAGGATGTGCAGAAACCTAAGAGAATGCCTTGAGGGAAAATAACTTATTTTTATTTAGAAATTCAGTCCTGTAACAACATTTAACATGCTTTTTTATATTGTGGTCCAAAATTTTGTTTCCTTTATACACGTAATGAAAGGCTTCTCATGAGCTGGTGCTCTGTGGTACACAGGGATGTTTGCCACTGTTTGTCATACAGGCAGGCTTTACAGTGTAAGATAATTTTAAGGTGTGTTTCACAGTACTGTCTGGGCAGCAGTGAGAGATTCCCTGAATAGCTGCTGGACTCAGACTCTAGTCTGAATGCAATGATTTGGCTTGTTATATAAAGTCAGTTCTTACAAAAATGATGTAAACAAAGTGAAAGGATTCAGCTTTGCATGCAGGAGAACTGGGTTCTTGGGAAATTTTCCAGTCAGTTCTAGCAGGTCTTGTCTCTGCAAGTGAAACCCAAAATGTTTCATTCTACTTTCTTAAAGTTAATTCCTGATTACAAGCAATTTACAAACAATTGCTATTGCCAGTGAGGAGAAAGGTCTTAATATAGTTATAGAGTTTATTTTGTGAAGAGAGGAGAAACAATCAAGATTCAGCAAAACATTACTATTATTTTTTGTTGTTTTAATCTTCATGTTCAGTTTAACAATATGACTTGGTGCTTACAGTGTCTGAAAGTGCAGCCTTTAAATCACTTCATCTGCTTGCAGAAGCTAGACTGCACTGGGGAATATTTAAAACCTGTATTCATGGATAGTCTATGTAACGTAGAAATACTTGGGGACAAGAGAATCTGATTGCCCCAGTCAGGGGCAAAGGAAATAGTACTTTTTTCTCAAAACCAAAATTATTGTTTTCATGCATAATACCTGGGTACATCAGAAATAAGTTCAGCAATAAGCTGTTGCTTTTGTATTCACTCTGTGTGGTCATCTCTATAGTGAGAATACATAATTTTGGAGGTTTTTTCCTACAGTTTTTTAGACACCTGCGTGCTCTGTATATTTGAACCAGGGATTGATAGCTAAGAATTGTTAGGTGAACTTTACTTTCAGCATCCTCTTGAGTAGATTAGTGGCATTGCCTACTGTACCTGGAGACGTGGGTCTGTGTGTGTTCCTCATGGTGAAACAAGTGCAGTCATTGGGCTGCCCTTGTTTTAAATGTGTCCTGTGATCACATCCAAAAGCCGTTTTGCCAATAGAGAATAATGCTTAGAGGGGGACAGTGCTAGGATGAGAGGACATAAAACAAGACAACAAAGCACCAGAAGAAAATTCTCAGTGAATTCAGTAATGGCAGCCCTTCAGTTTCTAGACAGGAAGTGAGTTTGGGCTGTTGTCATCAGTAGAGCTGGGGAAGAAAGTGTAGCTGTGTGTTTCTCAAAGCAGGAGGATTTAAAAGGATGCAGTTTGGAGAATATAACTAGCTTCTTTTTTTGTTTCAAGTGCTTGGATCAAAGTGGAGCAGCTGAAGCCTTATCACCCTCACAAAGAGGAAATGATAAAGATTAACAAGGGTAAGCGCTTCCAGCAAGCTGTGGATGCTGTAGAGGAGTTTCTTAGAAAAACCAAAGGCAAGGACCAGGTGAGTGGGTTCTTTTTCACTGTGTGCATTAAAACAGGTTTTGGCATGAATGACGATTAGATGCCTTGTTATGTGAGAGGAGTTTGTTGCCTCTGGCAAGTTGAGGAGGATTGTGTTTTCCTTCCTTTGGTTTTTGGGGTTTATTTCCTATCCTCTATTCTTCCCCATTAAATCTTGTTTGGTGGGGAAAAGTCATTATTGGATTATTAAATGATGAAGAAACTGAAGAGGCTAGTTGATCTACTTGTGATGATTTTATAGATCAGTCTTAAGAATTTGGTATCTACTAATCTTGTCTTTAGTATGTTGGAAGTGCACACAGTCCTGGCAAGTCTTCAGGTGGCCTGTTCTGTTATGTGCTTACCTAAACTGGTGTGTTTTTGCAGGAGAACTAACCAGGAACTTCACTCACCAACTCCAAAGGTCTAACAGATACGTAGTTTTCAAGTTACTGTGCTGTTGTTTTACTTGGTAGTAATCAGCACAGGGTCCTTCACATCCTTGGTTTTGCATGAAAATCATTCCATCTCTTCTCTTCTTTCCTTACCATCTTCTATTCTATAATCTCTCAGGCGTCTTCCCATAACTCCAGTGAAGAGAAGAATCGGCGTAATTCCAGTGAAGAAAGAGGCAAGCAATCTGCTGGTGAAGAGAAACGCAAAGCCAGTTTGTCTGAAGGAAAGGTGAAGAAGGGCACAGGGGAAGGAAAAAAGAGGGTTTCTTCTGTCTCGTCAGAGAGAGGATCAAAATCACCCTTGAAAAGAGCCCAGGATCAGAGCCCCCGAAAGCGGGGGCGTCCACCCAAGGATGAGAAGGTTTGTGTTGTGCATGTCCGCCAGTGCCCGTGGACTTGGCAGTTGGACTTGAGGGCTGACTGGCACCTTGACTAACAGGCCAGCAGGAAGAATCAGTTCAGTATCCCTTTTTTTTTAGCTTTTCCGTGTTGCTACTTATAGACCATTTGGCTGCCTGATGCCATTGGCAAGCATATTGTTGATTCTTCCTGTGATTTTTACCAGTTAGTTGCTGTGAGTGGCTCTGTTTGTATCTTTGAGAGGGCTTTGAAAGCTCTATCAGGAGACTTCATTCTTTCGTCTTGTCATCCCTTGAGTTCAGTTTGTGTGGAAAGGATTAGCAAAGAGATATGGGTCTTCATCTGGCTCCTGACTTCTCCCATGTCATCTACTTTATATGATCAGGTGATAAATAGCTGCTCAACTTCAACCTCAGTACTCACAAAGAGTGAGATATCGTTAAGGGATAGGGCTTAAAGAAGAAATTTGTAGCCTGGGGAATCCACCAGGAGAATTGTCTTCATTTCAACTTCTGTGCTTTAGGATATGTTCCCATCATCCATTATAAAGGAGCCTTAATATTTTATTCGTAGTACTTCCCTGGTATTTCTCTGTGTTGTGGCAGCACTTTGTCTACCCTCATATAGTTCCAGCCTTTTTATTATGGAGCTCACTGTTGTGGTCTAGATCTTCCTATTCCAAATGGATATTTATTTTGGTGGATTATTACAAGTCATATCCTTCATCAACGACTACACCTGAAGACAACTGGGAGACCTCAACTGAAACACCATACGGCAACATGCTTGCTCACCTGTGCTTCACGGGGATCACTATGTGCTTCAAAGTCTTTTCTTTCAGTGAGGATGCAAGTCAAGATGGTGGTCCTTGCTCTCTGAAATTGTGCATGGATTGGCCTTCGCTGGTTGAACAGCAGACTCTCTCTTGATGTAGTAAAATGAAGCTGATCGTCTCAGATATTAGCTGTGGAGGCATCATAGAATAGTCATAGAATATCCTGATTTGGAAGGGCACACGAGGATCATCAAGTCCAACTCCTAAGGGGCTAAAGGAAATACTGGCTCTTTTTTTAGCACCAATGTCTGTGAAATTAGGCTGCGTAACATATCCCATCAGTTTCTTCTTTTGAGGGAAGTCGGAGGAGGGGAGAAATGTATGCATATTTATGAATTAAAACTAATAATTACAGAACTTGTCGTGACTGATGCAGGAAAACGCTTCATTGGCAACATAGTTTTCACTTTTCTAAGTGTCTTCCTATAAGCATGTTGTGTCTCCACATATTTCTGTTTAAATAAGCTACAAGACCTTTTTTTTTTCACTTGCATAGTGATTCTGTGTCTTTGAGCTAGATTCATTCCAAAATTAATCAAAACAAATGGCTGGGAGAATTCTGATTGTGCTGACACATTGCATGCATAGGTTTTACTGTGTTATCTGCTTCAGGACATCAGAGTGCTGTGAGCGAGCTAATTGTGGTAGTTGACATTATTTTACTGGCACATGACAAGCAGACTGGTTTTAAAGTTGCCACATAGTGGTGGCCAGCTGTGTGATAACTGCCTGGCCACAAACCAGGAAATTAAGCAGGATAAGGTAGGAAAGTAAGCCTTATAGCTTCTTGAAGGTGACAAATAAAATAATTGCTATGAAAGTATAACAATACTGCCTTAATACTGGTTTTCAGCCTATAAAATAATTTAAAATCTTGTCTTCTTGCCTGGTTCTCATAAATTCCTCAAGTTCTTAACCCTAGAGTAGAAAACATTTATGTTGTTATCCTGAATTAATATGATGCTAGGATTTGTGGTTTTTTTTCCTCCATCCCAATCCAAATTCTGCCTTCCAAGTAATAATGCATAAAAATCAAGAATCCAGTTTTTGCTGAGGTGTGCTCTGTCTGGAAAGGCTCTGTGGCCATACATGATCATTCACATGCTGTGATTTTTAAGCTTATATGAATATATTTGAAGGAGCAGCAGAACTTCATAGGTATCAAAGCAGGTTTTATCCACACTTTACCAGCTGAGGTATGCAGGAGTCTCCCTAGACACTACAAGGTTGGAGACTGATGTCTGCATTGTCCTGCTAACCCTCGGACAGTTGCATCGTTCTGGGTTACCTCCAGGAGTCTTACTCTGGCCGTTTTTGCAAACAGTGCTTCTGTATGGATACTAAGGTATATTGTACATTTTCAGGAAGTAATTTTGGAGGGGAGGTAATGTGACTTCATTTCTGAACCCTCATTTCAGAGGAAGACAGCACGTATTATGTAGAAGTTCTGTGCATTCTCTTCATGTAGCATAAAAACCTAGATGTCTATAGCATATATCTATGACCTATAGCATAGAGACCTATTTTAACCTATATGTTTTGGGGAAATAAAAGATAAAGTTTAATCTGCTCAACAGTAAAAGCCCCAGTATGTTAAGTACTATCATGATCCTACAAACTGTGACCTGTGGAGCAGATGGGACAGCCCACATACCAGTTTGTCTCATGGATTCTGCCAACTTGAGCAGATGTGGCTGTCAATCTTATGCTTTGAAGTCAATCTTATGCTTTGAAGGTTCTCCTGATAACAGGTAGGCTATTCTATTGTGACAGGGTAGGATTAAAAGAGTTCAGACCTCTGCTTGTAATGATGTTCTTCACTCATTTGTTAAGTGTTTTGCATCCACCAGAGGAAAATACATGATCAAGCGTGTTTGTTTTCTGCTCATTGCATAAGTGCACAAGTGCAGTGATTCCTCTTAGGTATGAAGAATGGACTCTCCAGAAGCCATAAATCTGGTTGAAATCCTTAGCTGGCAGTTGATGCTTTCCTCACCTCACCTGTGTTGCTAATACTCTGTGTTTAAATATGAATGCTCATGGAAAGGCCTGTGAAATTGAAGGCTTTTGTAGTGCTTTCAGAGCTCTCTGTGTGTGCTCGAATGATCATCCTGCTGTGACCCGCTCCTGAGCCAGGTTTTAAGCTCTTTCTGATCCTCCTTCTGTCTCCTCAGGACCTCACAATTCCAGAGTCAAGTACAGTGAAGAGAGTGATGACTGGAACAGTGGCTGGATTTAAATGGCCACCGAGTGTGAGCGAGGTGAGAAGCTTTACAACGTCTACGTTCTGAGTTTGTGGCAGCAAATCTAGAGCCTTTTGTCTGTCTGTAAAACAACGAGATCTTACCTTCTTGTGTGTGAACATGCTGCAGTATAACAAAGTTGAACAATATCCCAGATAGTTCAGAAGTATGTTGGGAAATGAGATTTGTCTCTGTGGAACTGCTTGCAGATTCACACTAAACTTGCTGTACTAATGTTTACACTTCTTGTTTCAAAAGCTTTTCTGTGATTGACTTCCCAGAAGTGGAGGTGATGTGGATAGTCTCTCCCTGTCTGGATGCTATCACATGGGGTGCTTACATTTGATTTTCTTCACAAAGCAGCTTTTGAAAGCCTTTTGATTTTGTTGAATAAATGAGTGATCAGTAAAGCAGAGTAAGAGCGATGTGATTCCAGGCTAGTATGTATGATGCTCACTGGGGTGATCTGGGCCTTCAGTCCTTGTTGCTGTTAGGATGGGCTTGCTTGGTATGTGATAATCTCCAGTCAATTCCCAGAATGCTGTTTATGGAATTACTTAGAACCTGGAAAATAAGTGTTTTCATTTGCTTGGGAGAGGAAGAAGCAGATGAATTTTCTTCCTCCCATGCTAATATTGCTTGTACACTTCTTTGGTTTTCCTACAGATGTCCAAAAATGAGGAGTTTGGTTTGAATGGCTTTGGTTTTGAGAATGAAACAAAATGCAAACTACTTAATTGAAACAGGTTCCTTGTGACATCTGATGCATTTTATGTTTTCCGCCTTATGCTATTGCTCTTGTGCAGCTTAGGAGAGCAAGGGAATTGTGCTGTGGTAACTCAGTGACTCTCTGGATTTATTTCTGAGGTTGTACTTTCTCTTTGTAGCCTGTGAAGGACAGCGATCCACACTTTCATCACTTCCTGCTGAGCCAGACAGAGAAGGTAAGGATTTGGCAGACAGCATCATGTTGCTGGGTACTGTGGAGTCCTGCCCTTTGCTGGAACTGAATACAAGGAGTATGCATAAAGAGCTCCAGAATTCTGTTCTTTAGGGGGTGGCAATTAGATTGGTTGAAGTACTTCCAAGCCTTAAGATTTAGAGTAATTTAGCATTAAGTACAGTGAATAGTTTTAAATAATTCAAGATTATCTAGCAGTAGTTTTTGACAAATCTGATGTATTAAATTGTATAGGATGGACAGGAAGAGCTTTTTTTGTGTTCAAAAATCCTGTTGTTTGATTGTTTTTGATGATTGTCCTGTCAGTTTCTTCATCTGGATAGGCTTGCCAATTCACTGAATGTTGCAAGAGAACTTCCAGGACCAGAAAAGCTCCATGTAAAATACAGCCTGTTTATCTCCTGAGAGTCAGAAGTCTTGCAGGATTTTATATTCAGCAGTGAACATCAGGAGGAAAAGGAAAAATCAAATTAAGCATAAAAGGATTTATATCTCGCTGAGGATCTGAGCAGAGCCAGAAGGATTTAAGAGCTGTTAACAGTTTTATCTAGACAAGCTCACAGTAAGCAGCATGGGGAGGAGCAGCCTTTGCCTTAGCATTTGTAGAAAGCCTTCTACATGCTTTCTCATATTAACCAGAATGTTTTGGTTTCACAGCTGCTGAGACATAGTGAGCATAGATGTGAGGCTTCGTGGCAGGCTTCAGAGACCTAAATGTGGGAGTAGGGATGGCCCAGGTGCCTCCAGAGGAGCCTGTTATAGGAACTACAGAAGGGAGTTTGCAGTGCCTCTGTTAGAAGACAGGCTGAATTTCTGGGGCAGGGTGGGAAAGAACGATCTTAATATCTTGCAATATATTTTAGTTTTATTTTCTCCCCTTGAGGGAAGCCCCAGAGTTGTCCTGGTTTGAAGGTGGTAGTGGGTGGGTGAGCTGCCTGCTTCTGTGGAATAAGGGTATGGTCTGTTTGCTCGGCAGAGTAAATCAGCACTGTCCTTCCCCTGAACGCTTTGTCTTCTTCATACAGCCAGCTGTCTGCTATCAAGCCATCACAAAGAAGCTGAAGGTTTGTGAAGAGGTAACGTAAATCTTCATTTTGATGGATGTTCGTTGTTATGAGACCTTGCAGTTCTTCCAGAGCTGTGCGTTAAATTGTTTTTATTACTATTTTTCCCCTCTGTCTTCCCCACCTCTCTGCCCTTGTCCCCCCACCCCACTCCCTCAGGAGACAGGATCCACCTCCATCCAGGCAGCAGACAGCACAGCAGTCAATGGCAGCATCACACCTACAGACAAAAAGTAAGATCTCCAATACACTTCAGCCATTTCCTTTCCAGCTCACACATGCAGCCATTCTCCAGCCTGTCACTGAGAATGAATAAACCTAACATTTCCCTTTAACTGCACATTCCTTCTGTCCTTGTGTGAAACTGTTTGGGCGGTAGGGTGGGAGAGAGGCAGCTAAAAACAAAGGGGGCTGTGCAATACAAAATTTAAAGGGGACTGCAATACAAAATTCAGAGTAAATTCTGTCCTGGATACATCTGCAATTCGGAGTGGTTCTGCAGTTGCCTTTTTCAGTAGGTCCCACTGCAGGATGTTAGCAGCAGCATTCCTAAGTGTTGCATGGGATAGGAAGATAAAAGGGGATCTGTCTCCAGTAGTGCCTGGCGGTTGACTGGGCTCATTTAATCACTGTCCTGAGCATGCAGAAGACAAGAGGAAGAGGGAGGTGTGTTCTCCCATCACAAAAATTTTGCTGTGTAGCATGTGAGCTTTCTGGTTTCTCCTAACACCCCTGTTCTCCTTTATAGAGTGAGAGAAGGCTAACTTGAGCTTCCTGTAACTTCTGCTCTTTTCAAATTGAGTTCAGGCCACTCTTGCTGTTTGCTGTTGGGGCAGTTCACATGGGATGTCAGTTCTCACTTGTACTGCAGGGAAACAAAAATAACATTAAAGCTGTTCAGGTAAAACAGTCTCTTAGGAAAGTGCATCTCAGAGGTGGGTTGTGAAGGAAGGGATACCTCTGCTGGTTTCGAGACTTAAAAATAGGTAGACCTTATTTGGCCCATGTAAGGAGCCTGTAGTGATTTGCTCTGCCCTGTCTAAGGGCAGAAAGAGAAAAGGCAGCATGGCTAGCTGGGGGAGGACACGTGGCTTGTGAAAGCCACAGTGCTGCTGTAGTGTGGCTAATTCTGCAGAATTAACTACTGGATTTGCCAGTTAGATTTTGTTGTGATGTTCCCTTGGATATAACTGAATGCTTCAGAATCTCTTTGAAAACTGTGGGTTTTATGGGAAGCTGCATGACGGGTAAAAGGGTTCTTGCAGCAAGATCTGCAAGAGGAATTTCTGTTGCAGGTGATTGTAGGGACTTGGTGGCATATTGTCTCTTTTTTGAATGCAGGGTGCAAAATTCTTTCCAGCTTGCGGGAACAGGGGAGGCTATTATCTGGGACTGATGGTGACCTGTACTGGCCTAATACTTTGTTTCTTCCTGTGTCTGAAATGGCAGCTGTACAACAGGGACTAGGTCTTTGGTCTGGCATGATGCTTAGCACAGTAGTCTTTGCTAGACTTTATTAAAACTAGGATGCTAATGTATCGTTCAATTATACAAGCAAACATTGTATGTGTGACTTAGTTTTAAAGTCAGAAGATTAATAATTAGAGAAGCACCTGCTCATTTCTAAATGTTCTCTTTAACTTCAGTAAGGCAATGACTGTCAACAGAAAGCGCACAAACAGCAATTTTAGTAAGCAAAAAGCCACACACAAACAATCCACCCCAAACAAACAAAAATAATCCAGACCATCCAAACCTTTAATATTTAGGTGATCTTCTGAAATAGGCTAAAGACTTTCTTCACGAAATTGTTAGGGATGCTTGGTAAGCAAAATAAATTCTCGCTTGCTTTTAAAGCTCAGTATTTGCCCATTGTAGCTGTGGTTGCAGTAGAACATGTTTGTTTGGGTATTTTTTTGTGCTGGTGATGGTCCAGTTTGCTCTTCATCATTTCCAGCACCATGAGAAACTAACACTGATTGCTTTCTCTTGCATTAATGTTTATCTATACCCTCAGGATAGGATTTCTGGGCCTTGGTCTGATGGGAAGTGGCATTGTCTCCAACTTGCTAAAGATGGGTCACACTGTCACTGTCTGGAACCGGACTGCCGAGAAGGTAGGCATGTGCTTAAACCTCTGCTAAGCATTCAGTTACCCCCTGTATCTCATGGAATCATCTGTCAATGGTGTCTGGGAGGGGATGCCAAAGAAACACAAGGATATGCTTGCTTTGTTTTGTCTTGTTTCCTTTGTGCTTGTTGGTGGGCATGTCTAGATGCAGCTGTGGTCTGTTCTAGTGTGGTCACTCCTGTGTCAGCAGTCTCACCCCACTGCCTTTTTCTGTGAGAGGAGAGAGTTGTCAGAAAAATTACACCCTTGTATATTACACCTTTATATGTGCTGAAGAATGGGATGTAACATGCCTCTGAAAATACTGCTGATGTGAATAGCCATGGTCAGTGTATTGTGCATCTGTGAATAGCCATGAAAATACTGCTGATGTGAATTGCCATGCAATGTAGTGTGCCAAAAAGGCCAGGTGCAGGTAGTTATCCCAGGAGATTGAGGTGTGGTAAGATGCACTGCTCAGCTGCAGGTTAGTCTACATGTATTGTGCTAGTCATGTGGTAACAAGTGTTCTGTCAAAGACCTGCTGTGTCATGAGACCAGGATGGAGAAGGGCTTTATAGGAGTATTCAAACTGAAAATGGAGCTTATATTGCACTGCACTTATATACTAGACAGTGTTACTCTTTGTAGTGGAAGAGAAGTAGGTAGCTGGGGGAGATGTGGTAGTTATAAGATGCTGTGGAATAGCAAAGCAGGAAGAGCACTGTGGTTACTTCGTGAAAAGGGGAGTAAAAGATTTATTTTTTCAGGAGCAAAACATGGCTGGTATGAGGGGATAGGGTAAGAAGGAGCTAAGATTTTTAAGCAGTAGCCCTCTGAAACACACTCATCTCAGATGTGCATATTCCTGTTACTATCCAGTAACACATTGCTATGTCCTTTAACCAATTTTTTCCCCTAAATCTTCCTTTTGTCCCTAATAATTTCTTGTCAAACCCACAACATTCTTACTGTTTCACCTTAGAGTTTTGTTTCTTTATGTCTTTCTTTCAAAGTTCTTCACCTGTTCTTCAGAAAGGCTGCAAAAGAGCCCTGCACGCACACATGTGTGTGTAGACAAAGCAACAGAAGAAGACAAAGTTGTTGTGTAATTAACACACCTGTGTCCTTTGGAGTTGTGTCCAGCAGTGGAGATTTTACAGCAAAATGCAAAGAATCCATTTGCTCTGTATTTAATTTGTCTTATCTTTGGACTTGTGCCTTTTGCAGTGTGATTTGTTCATCCAGGAGGGTGCACGGCTGGGAAGAACCCCTGCTGAAGTAGTCTCCACCTGTGACATCACGTTTGCCTGTGTATCAGATCCAAAAGCAGCAAAGGATGTAAGGATTAGCTCTTATTTTACCTCCGCTGGTTAGACTATGAGATGGCAGTCACTGAATGCCAGTTCTGATTCCTTTTAACCACAGTAGCCTGGGTTATTGTACATCCTGAGCAGTGCAGCTGTGTAAAAATAAATGTCCTAACAAAAATTAAGCATTTTAGAAATTAAGTCTTTGAGGGCAGGTTCTGATAACTCTCTGGGGGTCTGCCACTGTAGTGCCAGGCTCAGCTGGACTCCTGCAGAAGTGGGGCTTCTCTGCAGACACCCTATTGCTTTACCGCTCTTCTGTTCTCCACAGCTGGTGCTTGGTCCAAGTGGAGTGTTGCAGGGGATTCGCCCAGGGAAGTGTTACGTGGATATGTCCACAGTGGATGCAGATACAGTCACAGAGCTCGCCCAGGTAATCACTGAACTGAGCCTCTTAACAGCAGCAGGTGTTCCTTCAGCAGCAGTTCTTCAGTTTTTGATGGTAATAAAACTGCTTCTAGAGGTCTTTGGGAGAGTCAAGTTCCAGGCAAACAAGACAACATGTCAAGTCTTAACCAGCAAACAGTGTTGGATGAGATGTTCCCTGGTGATACCAGCAAAGCTGTAGATTTGGCAGAGCTGTTACCTGACACCATTGCAAACAGATAGCCAAATTTTGATCCCCCAAGAAGTGTTTGTAGACAGGTTGGTATTCTGTAGCAAACTAGAGAGTAAAACCATGTCTGGGTTAATGACTGATGAAATGCGTAATCTGCCTAGTTTAAGTGCTCTGGTTGGGGAAAATTAATGCCTTCACATTTCATTCTATAGAAATATTATTATAGGATTTCTGTAAAAGTGTTCTGATTACTTCTGCTGTGGTGTTTGTGATTTCTTTTTTGGCATCTTGCTTGTTCCCCATTGCCCTAAGGCAGCATGTGTGGTTTTACAAGGAAGGGGAACTGGTTTTGGTCAAGTTTTAAATAGACATGTTGTTGATGCACTAGTGTGTAATATTAATTCAGAGAATGCAAATCACCTATATTAATAAACATCTGGCTGAAGAGATCTGTCAAAGGCCTTTCCCCTGTGGGAAAGAGGGGAAAATATAATGATCAGTCTTCTGGGATTCTTATGCAACATATACACCTTCAGCATTGATCCCTTGGCCAATATAGGGTGCCATGACTAAAGCATGTCAGTTCAGCTGCTTAAAACGTGCACAGTAGTGATGGGTGCAGGAGGGTCTTGCCTGGACCCTTTTGGTCTTAATCACACTTTGCAGGATACGTCACAATAGTGCTTTCCGCTCCTGTTGGAGCTATTTGTTATGCTTTAAATTTCTGTCATTAACGGCAGGTATGCCCTAAATTATGTTCCTGCTGCTGTTCATACACAGCTAACCAGAGATGCTCTTCTCCCAGGTGATAGTGTCCCGAGGTGGTCGCTTTCTGGAAGCACCAGTCTCAGGAAACCAGCAGCTCTCTAATGATGGAATGCTTGTGATCCTGGCAGCTGGCGACCGGGGTTTATATGAGGACTGCAGCAGCTGTTTCCAAGCCATGGGGAAGACCTCTTTTTTCCTAGGTAATTGAAACATGGAGGGCCTGGTAGCAGTTTCTTAGTGCAAGGACTGGGAATTTCAGCAAGGAGGGTGAGATGTATATGTCATCTTTTCTATGTGGGCAGTGTGGGAAATTGCCTTGCTGCTCTGAAACTTGGCCAGTTTCAGAGCCTGCAGGCTAAGGTTTCTTTTTTGAATGTTGGCTCATTTTGGAGGATCTGTGATAATTTTGGTTTTAAATGATATTTTCTTATTGTTTCTCCATTCCTTTGAGTGCTTGGAAAACGGAAGTATTTTCTGAAGTCCTTTAGGGGAAGGGAGAGATGCCAAGTGCTTGATGACAGGAGTTTAGCAGTGTTACTGCCATGTGGGCTGGGGAAGCAGGGCTGCTACTTCTCTTCTGGAGGAATTCCAATGGTGTGTCTTGCTCCCAGGTGAAGTAGGCAATGCTGCCAAGATGATGCTGATTGTGAACATGGTCCAAGGCAGCTTCATGGCAACAATAGCAGAAGGACTGACTTTGGCTCAAGTGACTGGCCAGTCCCAGCAGACCCTTCTGGATATCCTCAATCAGGGACAACTTGCCAGCATCTTCCTGGACCAGAAGTGCCAAAGTAAAGTTCTCTTACATTGTTTTCTTACAGGTCATTTTTACAATCTAGCAGCTTTTCAGATAGTGGCAGAAGGTAGAAAATAACAATCTCATCTTCTTCAGCCTGGGATGATGGTTATTTTAAGCATTCTGTAAATGAAGAGCTGAGTTCCCATTCCTTCCTCTTCATAGCTAGGACTTTTGGGAATCTAGTTAGAACTGCTTAGGGCTTAAGTCAGGATTTCATTGCAGCAGGGTAACAAGCTGCTTAGAAATCTGAGCTCACTTTGTCAGTGGGCAGTAGTGACATCAATCTGCTGTGGCCAGATGAAGACAGAGAATAGAAAAACAGGAGAGCTAAAAGTAGTGATCAGCAGTGGAAAGAGAGATTGGTGTTGAATTGCAGCCCCATGCAGCATGGGCTTGGCTTACTTTTGTCATGCTTAATTTTGCATGGGTTCCTCTCTGCAGATATCTTGCAAGGAAACTTTAAACCTGATTTCTACCTGAAGTACATCCAGAAGGATCTTAGATTAGCTATTGCACTGGGCGATTCTGTCAACCATCCAACTCCCATGGCAGCTGCTGCCAATGAGGTAAGAGTTGTTCAGTGTTCAGATGTGTTCTTCAGCATTTATTCAACAGTGCTATTTGTCAATCAGAGACACAGATCAAAGAATTACATAATCTCTAAGACAAGGGTACAGTGTTTGAAATATTTTTGACTAGGGTGGCATTGGATATGTTTTGATTGTAGAGACCCTTAGAATGTTACATCAGGAAACACAGACTTGGCATTTTCTGATCTGCACTTGGATTATTTGACATACTGTGCGGTTCTCTGGTTGCAGTGGTCAGCAAAGGAGTTTTTCTGCTGGGAAGAGGCTTCACACAAGAGCAGGCTCTGATCCTTTTCTGATTTCTCTTTAGGTCTATAAACGAGCAAAAGCATTGGACCAATCTGACAACGACATGTCTGCAGTGTACAGGGCCTACATCCATTAGGCTGCACCCTTCTTACTGTTCATACAATGATGATTGATTAATATTATTATGATACTGGGTTTTAACTTTGGACCAGTCCATCTCTGTCTTTCCATTTCCTTTTATACACAAACTTTGAGACCTGCTGTGGTGAGCCTTCCACTGTGGCAGGAGGGGGGAGGAGGGGGCTCGGATTGTTGCAGTCTAATTAGAAAAATCCATGCCATGCACTGACAGTCATGAGACGAAACAGCGGCAATTGTTCAGAAGCTCTGAGGCAACTCTGCCAGAAATCTGCTGCTTGGCTACTTTAATTTTCCTCTTTATTTGCTAGTCCAAAATGCTGTTTCTAACAATCCCTTTTCTTCTTTGCTGTGAAATAATGCAAGTGTTGGACTGTCTGCATCAAGGGGACAGGGTGACATACATCCCATCTACCTGTGAATATCACTTGAGTCCTTGGTCCCAAGTGAGGTGAGGAGCATGCCTGCTAATTAGCCACTGTTAGAGAACAAAGCACCTCCCATGGAGGAGAAGGGCAGTTCCAGAGGGTAAGGGGAGCTGAGTGCAACACTGTCTTGATTCAGTTTCTTTTTAGACTTCCATTTCCCCACCTTGATGGAGGAATTCCTGTACTGTTAAAGACAACACATTGCATCCATGTCTTCCCCTGTACAGACAAGTACAGCTTAGGGAACACAAACTGTACTGAAAATAGGAGAATGCCTATGTCAATGAGACTCCTGAAAGGCTTATCATAGCCCATCCAAAACATCACTGGAAAGTAATACGTTTGCATAGAAAACTGCAAGACAAACATAGTGCCTATAAAACTGGGCTAGAGATTTTACTTGTTCCCGGCCTTAGCTTACGTTATGTTACTACTTGTTTGTTTTTTTAACCCCTGTAGTCAGTAATTACAAAGATGTCTTGGATTGCAGCAGTGTCACAAGCAGAGTGGTGAGTCTGAAAAGGGAGAGAAGAATGATACAAGAGATTGAGATCCCTGAGCTCCTTCCCACGCTCTCTGGCCTTTGCATGGTTGTCACATCTCTCAGCCTGTTTGCCCATCTGTAAAGGTGGGTGATGGTTACCTACCTCACAGGGATACTTTTGTGTACTGACTAGTGATCTTTATACATGTCAGATTTTCCATACATGTTCTTAGTGTTACTACTTTGGGTACAAGACAGCACAGCATAAGCCTTCTCCCTGTATCTGTGACTCTGCTTGTGGCCAGATACCAGCTTCCAGAAAGACCAGTAACTGAGACTGGGGAGGCTAAGACCACTGCTGAGCTTTAGTCTAGAGATGAGCGACGTGAACTGCAGATGCCAAGGCTAGAGATCAGAGATACTTTCAGTGTAGATAGCAGAGCAACTCAGAGTCCAAAGGATGCCTGTCACAAAAAATGCACAGAGTGTGGCTTGGTTTTTGGTTTGTTTGGGTTTTTTTTTTCCCCTCCAATTTTCAGTATTAGCCTTTTGGGAGTTTTCTTGCATTTTAAATTTGAGTGTTAGAAAAATGCCAGTGAGAAACTTTGGCCAAAATCACTTCTCAAGTGGTACAATCTCCTTCCTCCCTTGGGCTGGGGTTCTGAAAGCAAAGAAGACAGATTCAAATTAGGCTGTGTTCCTGACATCTGCCCCTGCCACCTTATTTTTTTTTCTAGGAACTTAATGGCTGTGTAAGGAAATTTTCCCTGGGTTAGGATTTCTTACCAGTCCTGCTTTGTGCAGCCTGTGTGTATGGTTCAGGGACACCTTGTTAAGAAAGAAAGAAAGTGTCACATACTAATTTTGTCACATATTCATTGAATCACAACATCTAATGCCTTATGCTGTAAATGTTACTTTGAGTATTTCACCTCCTGTGATGACTGTTCCTTGTGGGCTAATGCTGTATTCTGCATTACTTATATCCTGTACTGAACACCTGGCAACAGAACTGTCAGACCTCACTGCCTATTGGCCACTGTGTGTGGGCGGTGGTAGTTCTACATCTGTGTTCCTTTGGCAATGCCACTGCCATTCTGTATGTAGGTATTCACATTAAAGGCATGTAAAATTGCCAGGATAGCTAGCCATTGACCTGCTTTGGCACACTGTTCTTCTCTACCCAGAACTCTGCAGTTAGCATCTGAGGTCCTTTGTTAAACATACTGTAGTAAAAAAAATCTCTCATATGAATTGTGCATTGTGGGCATCTGAGGGAAGTTGTAGGTTTGGAGGCAGGAAATGAGACTAAAGGAAAAAATCTTTTGGGAGGAAGAAGGAAGTACTGTCCCATGTGCAGAGCCAGTTCAGTGGCATCCCCCACCCGTCCCTGCCCTCTTGGGCCAGAGTGACCGTGAATGGTGTGAGCAAAGGCAATGGAGAATCTTTGTTAGTTTGTGGTGCCTCTGGATACAGAGAGAATGCCAAAGGAGCTCTCAAATCCTATGACAGGTATTTCATAATGAATTCAAAGGACCGGTCCCAAGGCAGCTCACTGCTGCAGGGTTTGTTTCTAGAAATACTGTATTCCCAGAATGGAGATGGTTATTTCTGTGGGAGTGGCAGATGTGGAGTAGTTGAACACTGTAATTTATCCTGGAAAGGTCTGACTGCAGCTTTCAGCCGTTGTGGGTGGCTGTAGAGTGGCTGCAGTGCTGCCTGGACAGCTGTACAGTCACAGGTGTGCCCAGGGGGAGCAGGAGGAGACCAAAGAGCTCTGATGTAGCTCTGAAGAGGAGGAATGGAAATGGGGGAATCCAAACTGTTCCAGATGCCAGTTGAGATTGCTGTCAGTCTCACTCAGATTCTTGTATTTATGTCTGTAGCCTCTGAACATGGATTTGAGTCTGTTCCTGGGCCTGAGATTTGAGGGAGGGAAGTGAGGGAAGCAGTGGATTGAGAGATGCTCTAATAAAACTGGCTAGTTAAATGTTGTCCTAATATTGTTGACAATTCTGTAAAGTTTCTTTTTATGAAGATTTGTTTTAGAAGTTTGCTTTTTTTGACTCCCTCCTTTTTAAAGAGAAAATGTGACACTTGTGAAAGCTTGTAAGAAAAGCAGTTTCCTTTTTCCTCAATGATAGATCCCATAGTTCATTAAGGTTGTGAATTTTTATTTTCCTGCCTTGTTTTTAATTAACATTTGTCATTCAGAATAGGATGTGTGAAAATGTTTAAATGGCAAAGATTTTTTTTTTTTTGTGCAATTAACAAAGCTACTGGCAAAAAGAATAAAACCTTTCTTGGTAACAGAATGTTCTTGTGGCATTTTCTAAAGCCTGTCAGAGCTGTCTTGGGGCATTCAGGAAGTATGTGTTCCTCAGAACACTAGAAACTCAGAGCTGCTGAAAACCAAGTAATCTGAAAACCGAGTAATCCTGAGAGCACTTCAGTCATTGCTCAAGCTTGGAACTGTCAGTGAGGCATTACAGAGGATAAGTTTGGATAAGTTCTATGCTCTGTATGCAGAGGGATGAGAGGAGGATCCTTGGTTTTAATGTTCCAGTGTTGATGACAACTTCTGTTAAGTTTTGGGCTGGGATATTCATCCTTCTGGCATTTGGGTTTTTTTTTTTTTTTAATCCAGTGGAAGATTCTTGTCCATCACAGGAGGGTGGAATGAGATGAGCATTAAGGATCCTCTCCACCCCAGCCATCCCATGATTCTGTGAACACTAACTCAGCAGTCAATTCGGTATTCTAAGATATGATCCGTAACTGAAATGTTTACAAGCTCTGAATACTGCTTGTGGATAATCAGACAGTTGGACAGCAGTAGCTGTTCCTGCTCTGAGGCATGAGGATGAAATGAAATGTAGATAATAGTGGTTTTCAGGTGCAGTGAGTTACAGGTGCCCGAGGAAGCATTCTTTTTGAGCACTGTCATTAAAAGCAACAGACAGGAAGTCGAGAGCTGTGCTTACAGCAGGAACTGGGGCTGTTGGAAGCTTTCGCTACCCTGAAGGATCCATTCCCATCTCCTACCCCTCCAGGGGCTGGTGTGGTGAAGACGCTATGCCCTCACCTCTCGTCTCGGTCGCAGTACAACCGTTGTGAAACGGAACTCACCGACTTCTGTACAAAGACCTCACTGCCAGGATCAATGTATTTATTTTAAGAAGTGATGAAACTTCCACGTCTTCACTCATTTGAGTATTCTTACACGCAGCTCGTTTTGGTCCTCGCCGAAGCGCGCTGGGCGGGGGCAGACAGCTCAGACGTCTCTTGCGGCGGGCACGGCCTCGGGGGGTAGGCGGGCGAAGGTCCCGCCTTGCCTGACGTCGCGCACGGGGCGCCGCCCTCGCGGGCGGCGGAGGGAAGTGGCGCTGTCCAATCAAGCGTTGCTGGGCCGTGCGCGTCGGGTGCCGGGGGCGGGGCCGGCGGTGTCAGGATGGCGGCGATGGCGACCCAGGGGGAGCGGGCGGTGCTGGTGAGTCGGGCGGGCGCTCGGCGGGGCCAGGGCGAGTGGCAGCGGCTTCTCCCGGCGGATGACAGCACTGCTAGGCCCCCGCAGACTCCTTCTGTCTGGCCGGGCTTGGATGGGGAGCCGCGGGATGGCGGCAAGGCCGTCCCCTGCGCCTGGGTCGAGCGCTGTGCAGGGGCTGCCCGGGCCCAGCCCTAGAGCAGCTGTCCTGACTGGAGGCGCTGCGGAAGTTCGGGCATGTTGTCGGGCCAGGCTTTAGGGCCTGTGCCCGAGCCCCGTCGCCGTGTGGTTCGGAGGCCGCGGCCTCCTCCCGCCTCGCCCAGCGGCGGCGCCCGGGTCTCTGTGCCACCGGCGCCGCTCCTCCGATGGGCCAGGTGGGGTTGGGTGGGGGGGCAAGGCCGAGGTCGCCCTGCTCCCGGCACACGGTGAATGTGCCCTTTGACCTTGGTGTCCCGCTGAATCGCCCCTCACATGGCGGGTGCCCGAGCCGCCCTAGTGAACTGGTAGCCTCGGAGACGGTGCAGAGCAGGCGTCACTGCGGCCTCCCTGGGACACCATCTCCGTGGAGGAATGAAATCTCCGGTATGGAGAAGGGGTTCAGAGATCTGTTGGTCGGAATGGAAATCCACATAGGAAAACTTTTTTTTTTTTTTTAAATATCATATGGTTTGGAAGAGTATGTTTAGCATTACCAAAAAACACAGATGTGCACAAATTTGACTTAGTCCAAAATTAATGGGCAGGGGAAAGGAGATTTCTTGTTGTGACTAAAGGAAGGAATGATACCAATGGGCATTTTGAGTGGAAGCACCTACTGGTGGTGTTGGAGGTACTAAAGGTATCTGCTGCACCCATGGGATCAACTGTTCCTTTGAGAACTTGGAAGAGGCCAAATATTACAGAGTGAAAGAGTTGGATATCTGTCTTCTCTCTGGTGATTAGTGAGAGGATCTGAGGGAACAGCATGGAGCTCTGTCAGGGGAGGTTTAGGCTGCATATTTGGAAAAGTTTCTTCATCCAGAGTGTGGTCAGTTGCTGGAAGAGGCTCCCAGGGCAGTGGTCACAGCACCCTGCCTGACAGATTTCAGGGAGGGTTTTGACAAAACTTTCAGGCACATGGTAGAATTCTTGGGGCTGTCCTATGTAGAGCCCACACTTGGATCCTTGTGGGTCCATTCCAGTTAAGAATATTCTATGATCAGTATAATTCCCAGAAACCCAAAAGAGGATTAAAGTGTCGAAGTCAGTTGGTCCTGCACCCAAACTGCTTTGAAGGATAACAGGGAATCCTGCCTGGCTTTGTTGCATGTGTCTGCCTTGGATAAATGTTTGTTGAAGCGAACCTGTCTTTGGCCTACTAGTTGTTGGGATGACTCTTGCATGAGGTGATGACACATGAGTGGGGGTTGTGTTCCTCATGGTGAGCAGGAACCATCTAGCAGAGAAACCGCTATCTTAAAGATCTGAGTTGACCCTAGCTTGCCTGTTTTTTTGTGGGCAACCTGCTCAGAACTCTCCCCATGGAAAATTTCTCTTTTCTTACAGGATGACTAGTGGCAATCTTTTCTTTGTTCCATGCTTGCTTCTGTTCCCCACTTCTTTGATGATGTGCATGGGGACTCATGGTTTAACAGGAACACTAGATGTGCTTTGAGGGTCTGCTTTATACAGGCTTCTCTGTGGCAGCAGCCAGTGGAGGCTCAAGGCAGTGAGTCATCAGATCCGAACTTGTTCATTACTGGATTTGCCCCAGTGATTGGGAATCCCCAGCCTGTGTCCCCCCCACCCCACACCCCCTTTTCCGTTTAATTGTTTTGGTTTTAGACTACTATTGCTTGGGGAAATGCTGGGCATGGAGGTGGGGATGCTCATTTTAGTTCTTATCTTTGTTTCTCACCACTTAATTAGCAATGAATTTGTCTGCAAATTGATTCAGTTTTGTCTGTGCCAGGAGTTGGATGTCCCTAGCTTTACCTTGGCCCATGATTCCCCTTTGAGGAAGGGGCAGTGAGGGAGGCTGGGTACGTGTCTGGCAGCCAGGTGAGTCCATCTCAACAGCTTAAAAAGGTGCCCCAGTTTTTGATGCAGCAGTATTTTTACTTTGTTCTGAGAGTTGCATTCAATTCTAGGTTTTTTGGTACAGTGATTTGTGTACCAAATTGCTTTCTTAAACAAAGTCAGGGCAAGAATGAGGACAGTTTATTGGACTGGGCTGGAGAAGTGGAGATGTGGAGACTGAGGTGTTTCAACAAATCAGGAAGAAAACTTTTGTTCTCCTTTGTTTAAACAGCGCAGAAACAGCAGTACACTTAGAACTTAAATAATTTTGGCATGTGTCTGAGATTTGCTTGCAGTGTTTGATGTCTAATGATTCCACTGCTATTTTTCCACGACATAGGAAGAAGAATTTAAATGGCTTTTACAAGAAGAGGTCCATGCTGTTTTGAGACAGCTGCAGGATATTTTGAAGGTGAGGTTAATTCTGTCTGAGTTTTGTTTGACCTTCTGTGTAAGGAATGGTGATAGGTTTCCCCTGCAGGAAAAAATTCTTGCTAGAGGCTGCACAGAAGGGTCATCCATGTATGATCAGTTCTGTCCCTGGTGCTTGCTTGCCCTCTGCTCTTGAGGATTCACAGTAAATCTGATTTCCCCAAGATTTCTCTGTTCTTTACCCTCCGCTGACAGCTGCTTTGAAAAGGTACATGAAGCCAGCCAGACCTATCTGCCAGGCATTTGCCTGAGATATGAATATTTTCTGGAACAGAGAATCTGAATCTGCCTGTAACTCTGATGTGTGCTGGTGGAAGCAAGCAACATGGCCTTTAGGTGACAGCTGCTACTTGTGCAGTAATTACTGGTATGTGCTCTCCTTGTTCCTCAACCTGCCCACTCCTCTGCTGGTACCTGCCCCTTTCAGAGGCCTGATGTGTCCAGCTGAAGCAAATGGGCAGCCCTTTTCTCGCCATTCTCCAGCCTGAGCATGTGCTGCGGGGCTGACTCTTTCCAAGCAGCCAGTGGGGAACTGGCCAAAGGGACTTCTGTGCACCACAAATGCACTGTGTGTCTGCTGGATCACTGTTCAACAGGCCCAGCCCCTTAACACTCTCTGGCTTTTGGAGGTTATGGAGTGATGGAAGAGCAGGGCCAAAAAAGTGGAGGTGAGGGGCAAGTGCCAGAGCAGGTGCGAGTGCCATAGTGCTGATTCAGATCCCCAGGACTGTAGTCAATAGCAGGTGACAATAGACTGCAATATTTTTATATATAGTGTCTGTTTTGAAGAATGTATTGTAGTTTTGAGGGTGAAGTGTGTAAAGGGCAGTCACCAGCCAGTGTAACCAGATGGAGGGCTGGGAAGGGCTGGTGTTCTCTCCACACTTCTTCATGTGTTAAGACCAGCTGTGATAAGGGGCAGCACCATGGTGCCTGAGGGTATGCAGAGCTCAGCTGCCAGGTGCTGCTCCTTCTGTGGGCAGCTTGGGGATCCTGCTGGCACTGCCCAGCTCCACGATGTGGGATTTGAAAATGCCTTTTGCTATGGGTTGCATGCGCTGAGCCTCCTCCTGGGCTTCACCAGTCCTGCAGTAGGATGAAATCCAAGTGCTCTGCTTGGTGGACTTCGGGAGGCTGGCAGAGGTGACTGCTACATATTCAGCCACTTGATGGTGTCCACATTGTCTTTGTTCCTGGCTCATGGTGTGCTGGGCCCAGGCAGATGCTCCAGCACTCACTGTGTCCTCTCTTGGGCAGGAGGCCTCCCACCGCTTTGCCTTGCCCACCAGTGGCTCAGGAGGAGCTGTCAAGCAAGAGAACTTTGTACTAAGCACATCAGGG